GTTTGCACTAATCTTACACTACGTGTTCAGCCCACCGAAAAGTATAGATGAGTATTGACTGCAATTGTGCATCTTCACGGAAACTTTGGTTAAAGTTTCTTGCGGCTTCGCGAAACATCCCTACTACAAGCACTAGGTTTTTATAGGCTTCTAATAACTCATTCGAGCAAGTCAGACTACTCCATTCAATATTAAGTTTGACCATAAATTAAGATTGTTATATAAAAAAACTGTATAAAATTTGCACAAGCAACGAGAAGCCTGGCATTGCTAACTGGTAGACAACAGCAGCTGCATCTGATAGCTAATGGGAACTCCTTCAATTCATTTGAGAAGCTGGCAGCTAGAAACCTGGCATGAGTGAAACATTCTGTGAATCTTATGTGGTGTCTATCAGAAACATCGACTGATATAGTAACAGTACAGCTATTCTCTTGCCCCCGGGAACATCAATCAAACTGTGACGACTGATTCACCAAACGAGACGGAGTTCCTCAAGGAATAAAAATATTTGAAGCGTCCTAAATCAGCGTGCGAAAAAGATAAAACCTGGATCTCTCAAGAGATGCTAGCCATCATCTCGTTAACGAACTGATTTAGTTATTTACAAGTGACTAAAAAATGAAGTGCTTCGTCCAACAGTTATGAACGGCATCGAAGCGGTACACCCAGACCATCCTGTAGAAAACAAACCCGCTAATAAATGGTAAACATAAAAAATAATTGAAACCATTTAAACTCGGCCCTGGGGTTTGTAAGGTCTTCATTGAGAAGTGTTATAAAGCCCCATAGTGAGAGCCGAGTTCCTTCGGAATTCACGAGGCTGATGTCTCTTCCGAAAACCAGAGCAACCATTTATTCAGGTATATGGAATGCTCGTACAATATGGGAAACTGGGATGGTCTTCAAAATTGCTGCAGAAATGGAGAGATACAACCTGGAGGTGCTCGAAATCATTGAAACACACTGGACGCAGGTTTTACAACAACGATCAGCTACATAAGAACATCTGTTATACTCCAACCATGAAGAAGAAAATGCCCCATATATTCGTAAAGTTAGATTGGTGCTATCCAAACAATAATGGAAATCTCATAGACCAGGAGAGGTGATGTAGGATCAGATCATCACTTGCTGGTCATCAAGATGAAATTGAAATTCAAGAAGCACTTGACAACGGGGCCGTCAATATCACAAAAGTTTAATACGGCTTTTCTTCGGAATACTGACAAACACAACAAATTCGACAGAACCCCCAGCAATAGGTCCCAATCCTTTCTACTCAATGAAGAGGGAACTGTCATAGTGAACGATTCAAAAGGTGTCAAGGAAGCAATCACCTCAATATGTCAAGAGGTTTCGGGCCACAAGAAGCACCATCACAAGAAATGGATCACTGTTGATACACCGAATAAGATTCAAGAGACGGACAATAAGGCAGTAATCAATATCGGCCGAACAAGAACATAGAAATTCAAGGCACAAGCTGAATACACAGAAGTAAACAAGCAAGTGAAGAGGAACATCAGAACTGGCAAACGTAAACATGTGGAGGATTTAGCAGTGACGGCGGAAAAGGCTGCAAGAGAAGGAAACATGAGACAACTGTGTAACATAACAAAGAAACTCTCTGGAAATCACCGTGAGCCATAACGACCAGCGAAAAGCAAGGAAGGCAAGGTAATCACCAACAATGAAGAACAACGAAACAGGTGGGTAGAACACTTCAAAGAACTCTTGAATCGACCAGCACCACTGAACCCACCCAAAATCGAAGTAGCACCCACGGACCTCCCAATCAACGTTGGCCCACCAACAATTGAAGAAATCAGCATGGCCATCAGACAAATCAAGAGTGGCAAAGCAGCAGGACCAGACAACATTCCAGCAGAGGCACTTAAAGTAGATGTAGCAGTATTTGCAAGGATACTCCACATTCTCTTCAGCAAGATTTGGAATGAAGAACAAGTACTAACAGACTGGAAAGAAGGACTTACGATCAAAATACTAAAGAAAGGCGATCTCAGCAACTGTGATAACTACAGGTGTACCACTCTTCTCTCAATACCAAGAAACGTATTCAACAGGGTATTGATAAACAGGATGAAGGACTGCGTAGACGTCCAACTTTGAAACCAACACGCAGGATTCCTTCGTGTACCGACCAAATCGCAACTCTACAGATCATTGTGGAACAATCAATTGAATGGAATCCATCACTTCACATCAACTTCATTGATTAGGAGAAAGCATATGACAGAGGGGACAGAACAGTACTATGAAAGCTTCTTTCATACTACGGCGTACCTAAGAAGATAGTCAATATAATATGGAATTCCTATGATGGATTACACTGCAAAATCGTGGATGGAGGGCAGTTTACAAACTCTTAAGAGGTGTGAGGCTTACTTGTAGTGGCATTGGACCATAACCACACTATCCTCAAAGCTGAATACGAGATTACTCGGAAAATAGGTATTCAATATTTAACGCGGAGAAATACCTAACGATAGAGAAGGCGCGAATAATGAGTTGAATGGACTAGAGTTGATCGAACGGCATGGCTCGGCCATGCAGGCGTGGCCTCTGCTGAATGTTACCTTATATCTTCTTTTCATATTAAATATATTGTTCTTTCTCTAGCCTAACCTTGTTCTACATCATGTATTGGTAATTGATACGATACAGTGAGTTGGTGTAGTCGATGGTGTGACTTCCACATAAGATCTTATAGATTAGGCAGTCATATCATGACAAATCTACAAATTTAGGATTAGGTCTATTATTAGAGCAGTACTAATATCATAGTAAACCATAAGTTCTACATACTCTCACCATTTATCTTTCTCCTGGTGATCGACTGGAACATGAAAACGTCAACATCCAGGGAGGAAGCATGGGATACATTGGACAGCTAAGATGCAGCTGGACGATCTAGAATTCGCAGGTGATCTGGATCTTCTATCGCACACGCAACAGCAAATGCATTAGAAGACGACCAGTGTAGCAGAAGCCTCAGCAACAGTAGGTCTCGACATACGAAATGGGAGAGTCAAGATTGTCAGATACAACACAGCATGCACCAATCGGACCATACTTGACGGAGATTTGGAGGATGCAAAAACCTTTATATATCTGAGCACCATCATTGATGAAAACAGTGGATCTGATGTAGATGTGAAGGCGCCGATCGGCAAAGCAAGAGCAGCATATTCACAACTGAAGAACGTCTGAGACTCAAAATAACTGTCAACCAACACCAAGGTTAGAATTTCCAATACAAATGTCAAGACAGTTCTACTATGAGGTGGAAACCTGGAGAAATACGAAAGCTATCATCCAGAACAGACAAGTGTTCATTAACAGTTGTCTACGCAAATTACTTCAGACCCGTTGGCCAGGCACTGATAGCAACAACATCCTGTGGGAGAGAACAAACCAGATTCCAGCGGAGGGAGAAATCAGGAAGAAACGATGTAAGTGGTTAGGACACACATTCAGGAAAGCATCCAACTGCGTTACAAAGCAAGCCCTCACATGGAATTCTCGAGGCTAAAGGAGAAGAGTAAGATCAAAGAACACATTACGCCGAATAATGGAGACAGACATGAGAAAAATGAACAAAGATAGGGTAGAACTGGAAAAGGAGGGTGAGGACAGAGTAGGTTGGAGAATGCTGGACGGCGGCCCATTCTCCATTGTGAGTGACAGGCGCAGGTAAGTAAGTAAACCCTCCATATTCTAACTACGTCATTTCCTCTACATTGTTTTTACTATAATTTGACATCTCTGTAACATGGGGCTGATATCAAGCATTTTACACGTTGCTGGATCTTTTTTGAGGGAAGAAGAATTGATTTTAGCGTTTAAAGACACTACATTTTCCAACCACCATCTAACGATTATAAAGTGTTTCAACACCGAACAAAGATTCTAGCAAAATAGCATGAATTCATCTTATTTCGTAGGTTCTCGTCAGCTGCTTACAACCTGTGATATTTAAAAATCTTAATTACATAATGGGTTTTAATTGCTTACATGAGAGGGTTTATATTGGAGAAATATTCGTGAAGTATGACATGGTGTAAATGAAATTAATAGGCTGAATATTGTAAATATATACCTAATGTGAGAGAATATTCTACAACATTAATTGTGACAACAGTTCAAAAGTGGGTTAGAAATAATCGATTACATAATGAATAACATTGAAGGAATGAAGTGAGTAGAGTTCAGTTGAAAGATTATTAATTTGAAAGATAGTTGAAAAAATAAAAGAGTCAATGATGTAATAAATGCAACAAAAAAAGAAAAAAATTTTATGGTGCCCTGGTGACAAATATATTCCTTCACTGCACCATAATTATTTTTCTTTTTTTCTTTTTTGTCGCATTTCTTACATCATTGACTTTATTTTATTTAAAAGGGACGGTTTCCATATTTGTGTGCTCTGAGCTTCTATTTCACTTACTGTTAATTATTTTTAACAAATCTCTGCTGTTAATTACTTCACCGTATGTTATAATTACTCCTTGTGTAATCAATAAAGGAAACCTTTCTATTTACAGACATACAGAAGCGTTAGCCGACACACATCTCAACTCTAAACTTGAGGTTTGTAACCGTTCTATGTCTGTTCCACAAAAACTTAAACGATCTATCAATAACAAACCGAAGAACTGTCCTAGATACCAAATAACATTTAAGAGCAAGGACCTTACGAAAAAGCATGTCTCAGCTCCTATTCTCATAAACTGTTATTCTCTAAAACGAACACACTTAGATTACATTATACATATATCCTCTCATACTATTATTATTATCGAACTGACAGTAACTATTGAGTTTGAGGAAGAGATTTTCAATGCAGTCTTTATGATTTAAAAGCTGTAACTGTGTCAAAAAAGAACAGAGAAAATGCAAATAAATCAGGCAGACTATTCTGGTCAGAATTCAAGTTATTGGATATTAGTACCACACAGACACTCCGCGGTTCTCTTAAAATTTGAAGGTCGAAGCTACGAAAATATGGTACGTTGTACTTCATTCCTCGTTTTCGGATAATCTAAAGTCTACACTTGGAAAAAGTATTGTTATTGAGCATAAAAATGCTGGTAGTAGTTCGTTATTTCGTTTTTCATCACTACGAACATGGCTGCAGCCATGTTAATATAATACATGTAATATATAATCGAAGGATTGTAACATTAGGTTTTTTAACCAATGAGTTGACATTGTTCTGTTAATAAGCGATTTTTACGAAGAAAATCAGGCGATTTTAGCTGGTCGAAATCAGTTGAATGATTTAGTAGTAATTACAATTACTACTAGTGTGATGTTCATGAACATGGTATCTCGTAGGAAAGCTGTATCGAACCTTTTTACCGCTATTTCCCCAACTGTGCAATGTTTCTTTGGCTTCAATTTCATCTTGGCAACCACCAAGTGATCTGAATCTGTCAGCCGCTCCTGGTTCTCACATCTTTCATTGTCCTTCTGAATTTTTTAGCGATGCCAATATGATCGATGTGGTCCTCTGTAGGGTGACGTGGTGAGACCCACGTAACGTTTTGTATGTCTTGAAGGCACAGAGATTTGAAAGTATTTCACCATTCTTGTTCTTTTCTCCCAGTCAATGTTGTCCCATAATAATTTTCTATCCGCTATTGTCCATTCCGACTTTGGCATTTAGGTTTCACATCAGAGTGGTCAGGTCGTTTCCTAGGCACTTCTATACAATTGATTGCATTCTCCCTTAAAACTGATATTTATTGTCGTCGTTGCTATCGTTGATAGGTGCATTATACTGAATAACGCTTATTGTTTTGAAGAATGCTATGACGATTCGGAATCCAAGAGATTCTCATTCTATTAGTGCTTTTCATGCGTTTTTGGTCAGCATCAGTGCACGTCTTTGTGCGTGCAAAACTTTTTTTCCTCATGACGAAGGTACTTCACCATCTTCCTCGAATCTAATCTTTTCTGTTCAGCTTCCGTTCATTGGGTCTAATTTATTCCGGGAATCTCCAAGTTGTATCTCTACGTTTCTGTGACTGTTTTGTTGGTCTTCCCAGTCTCTGGTTGCTCTGGTTTGTAGAAGCTGTATAGGCTCAGAGAATCCCGGGTGTAACGATGAGTTGTCGTAATTTTTGTAAATAAAGATCCTTCAATTCCCAGGGAAGAGTTTAAACGGTTTAAATGATTTTTATCTTGTTGGCGTTTTTTAATAAGGTTGTTTTCTAATGGATAGGGTTGTTAATCCCATTCCCAACCCTCTTTTATTTGAGCATGTGATCAGTAGTAACTCTAGAAAGGCTGCAGATGAAGTTGTGTTTTCATCTATTGATAAAATGTTTCGTGTAGTTTGGTTGTAACTTGTCTTTATCCTTTTCATTTTAGATGTGCAATTAAAATTTGTCCAATAATGTTTCTGTAGACTTTACGTACATTCCACGTCTTGGTACCTACTACTTGATTTTTCACAATATCGCTTTTCAATGGACCATTTGATAAAATCTTGTGAAAGTTTAGTCAACCCTACCTGTTCTATTAAATTCGAAAAACTTGTGGAATTTGGCCTAACCGGAATCGTCATTCGTGAATATCAACTACAAGGAATTAACTGGTTAATAAATTGTGATTTACAAAATCATGGTGGACTATTATGTGATGAAATGGGTTTAGGTAAAACATGTCAGGTTTGTATTGCAATTATTTTATTAATTATATAAAGGTTATTTGTTTTATTTTAGCTATCAGTAATTGGAAATCTAATGCTACTTTTTTAATTGTATCTCCGCTTTCTGTTATAGAAAATTGGAGATGTGAACTTCAAAAGTTTGTATAGATTCTTTTCCATTTCATCAATTTTTAGTATTGCTCCTAATATTTCATTCATGACTTATATCGGCGACAAAGTAACACGTTCTAACTTACGATCTAATTACAATAAATCAATTAAAGTCCTGTTAACTACTTACGAGGTATCATATTTCATTTCATTTACATTGATAAATAGATTTGTATTAATGATGAAGCATTTTTTAAAACATTCTATTGGAACTATGTCATTATTGATGAAGGGCATCGTCTTAAAAACTCTAATACTCAATTGTATTCAATGTTAAATGAGGTAAGTTTTGTTATATGTTGTTGAACTATTCATTGAATTATTGAATTTGATACATTTGAATTTTGTCTATTCAGTTCTAATGTACAAATCTAATTTTATTGACTTTGGTTTTCAGTAATTATACAACCTTCTAACACAAATTATCATTACTGAGATTAGACTATATGAGTCAGTTTAATTTTAAAATTACACTAAGACGGTCTTAGTTAGGTGTGCGATAATTATTGAGGCTAGTATTTTAGATGCTATATTAGTCAAACTAATCCTTCTATGATTATCACACGATGATTTTGACCCTTTCTTATATATCGGGACAATCGGTGATTGTGATCAGTCAGATAGGATTACGTACAACTCCTAGATTTTAGCTAAAATATTAGTCAATTTAATCGCTAAAATTGGACCACCATCCTTAAAGACTTCTGGAGCCAGCTACTCTTTCTCGTTTCAGATTAGCCACAGCTTTCTGAACTTCAGCTAGCGTCGGGGGATCTACTTCAATGTTCCATCCACACTGTCTGGGAATGGAGGGTAGTTGTAAAGTAGCTGAAGGCCAGTTGAACTGTTCTCTAAAATGTTCCACCCATCGTTCTAAACGTCTGGACTGGGAGCAGACGAGAGTATCGTCTTTTTCCGAAATAATCTCACTAACACTTGACTTATTAGTCCCAGTTTCTTTTATTAGTCTGTAGAGCTGTCTTGTGTTCCCTATAGTCGCCGCCTTTTCCATCTCTTTTGCTTTCGTTGCCCACCACTGCTCACGGTCGTTTCTTAAACTTTTGTTTAACCTAGATCTGATTTGTTTACGCTCTTCATCATGTTCAGAACCTGATGGGACGAGTTTGCGAGAATCCATCAGTGTGATAGACCTTGAAGAAATCCACTGGTTCTTTGTAACTCTGTGGTTTAAGTCACTAATATATATCACTGCTGTTTCCACAGCTGATTGTATGCCTTTCCAAGCAACATCTGGGTCAGCCTCGTTTTCAGAAGTACCTAAGTGTGACCTCAGTTGTTCCTGAAACCTACTTTTGGTTTTCTCGCTACTCAATTTAGTTCTAATGGGTCATTTTACTGTGGCTTTTTTGCGTCCAGTGAGGCAAGCAGATGCGTGCCCGTATTAGGGCATGGTAGGAGTTCAAACAGGTACTCTAGAATGGGCGACAATCTTCTATCGATCCTCTCCAACGATGACCGATGGCAATATGGTCTACTTAAGTCCATCGTTCCTTTGGTGTATGGGGTCGCCATGTTAGACGATGTCTCTCCTTATGCTTAAAATTAGTGCTTGCTAAAAATAAACGATTGTCTGAGCACAGTTGCAGCAGACGATCACCATTATCTGTTCGCTGTGCCGGAATACTAAAATACCCACTTAAATGCCTTTCTGTTTGGTTTAAGCTACCTATCTGAGCATTAAAGTCACCTGCTACGAGTACTATGTCTGAACGTTTAGCTTTCTGAAGAAGTTCAGATAGCTTCCTGTAAGATTCATCTTCCATTTCATCTGAGCTGCAGTCGGTGGGAACGTAGGCAGAAACGACAAAAAGGGAACGACGTGTGTCCCTATCCTTCCGAGTTCTTATGGAGCCGTTTAGCCGAACAACACATAGACGACTGTTAACGTGGACCCACTCTAATAGTGCTTGTGCCAGTCTATAAAAAAAGAAAAAAAGTTCTCTCGTGACAATCACAGAGGAATCAGTTTGACAAATATAGTGTCTTTTGGTGGAGTTTTGTTCTCTGAACTGGATGGTTTGGTCGTGTGATCCTATAGTGTGCATCCGTTATCATGAGGTGTACCATTTTTCTTCCACTTTGCTCAGCTATTCTCCATCCTAATGGGCAGTTGATTGGGGGTCTATATCTTACACTTGTTGGTAGAACATGCTGGCGAAGACACTCATGGAGAAAATATAGTTGTTCTCGAGTGGAAGCCTGCCTTTTGGCGAAATTCTCCCATTTTCGAACAACGAGAAGCGTATTACGCTCATATGATTTTGAGATGGTGGAGAAGATTTGTAGCTCAGGACCAAACCATCCAGTTCAGAGAACAAAACTCCACCAAAATCATCCACCTGAGCTACAAATCTTCTCCACCATCTCAAATATAGTGTCTAAAATATTAGCTTCAATAATACTTCGACGCCTAACCAAAGCTCATGAAGAGCAGACTAGAGAAAATCAGGCTGGTTTTCGACCTGGACGTGGTTGTATAGATCAGATATTCACACTACGTCAGGTTCTAGAACACAGACACACGTTCAGACGCCCCACAATGGTAGTATTTCTCGACCTTAAGGCGGCATTCGACTCTGTTGATCGTAAGGTTCTATGGCAGTGTTTGTCACTGAAAGGAGTACCAAAGAAGTACATTAACCTTATACAGGCTCTCTACTCGAACACAACTGGTAGAGTGAGAGCTTATGGAGAACTGTCATCAGAATTGATTACCCCAAGTGGTGTTCGTCAGGGCTGTCCACTCTCTCCATTCTTGTTCAACTTTGTCATTGACGTACTTTTAGAGATAACACTTTCCTCGTCTAGATTTCTATGGGTTGAACTTCTACCGGGAGGTTCATTTGTTGACTTAGAATATGCTGATAACATAGTTTTGTTTGGTGAAGACGCTGACAAAATGCAGAGTCTTCTGACCACTCTAAGCAACAATGTAAGTATTTTCGGGATGCGATTCTCTCCCTCGAAATGCAAAATGTTGCTTCAGGATTGGGTTGCATTGACACTCGAACTAATGATAGGGAGTGAAGTAATTGAGCGTGTCGATCGCTTCACTTATGTTGGAAGTCTCATCAACCCTTGTGGTATGGTGTGTGACGAAATCTCAGCACGGATACAGAAGTCTCGACTAGCTTTTGCCAACTTGCGTCATTTATGGCGTAGGCGAAATATCAGTCTATCAACCAAAGGATGTGTTTACTGCGCAGCAGTTCGTTCCGTCCTACTTTATGGAAGTGAAGCATAGCCGGTAAGAGTAGAGGATATTCGTAGGTTACTAGTGTTCTATCGTAGGTGTCTTCGAAACATTGCTCGTATATCCTGGAACCATCGAGTAAGTAACGCAGTTATTAGGAAACGGGTACCAGGTAAGGATGGCAAGTCAATTGATGAAGTAGTGAAACTTCGTCAGTTGATATGGCTGGGACATGTGTTACGTATGCCCAACCACCGACTGCCTTGATGTGCGATGTTTTGTTGTATAGGAGTAGATTGGAAAAAAGTTAGGGGCGGCGAGACCAAAGCATGGCCTAAGTCCATGAAGTCACTGACAAGTGGACTGAGTCATGTTGGTAGGTGTAGATTACCTGGTTGGGGACCGCGAGATGATAGTAACCGATGGTTAGAGACCCTGAATGACTTGGCTCAAAATGGTTTGCAATGGCGCAGGTGCATCCACTCTTTGTGTTTTTTCAAATTCTAATCTTCTGAATTCTTCATGTCCCTTTCCTTTTTCTCTTTCCAAATTTATTTCACTAGATTATACTTCTTGATAACATCTTCAAACCCTAATTTTTCTGATTACAGCTTATAATTTTACTACATCTTGCACTACGAGATTTAAATTGACCACTGCATCTCTGTGCAAATGTGGTGTGGCAACTCGAACTGATGTACGTACGTACGAAGTTCTACGTTGTTACTGACTGACTGACTGAGTGCTTGTTCCGCCCTCATGCTTAGTGTTATGCCTACACCTGCCAGTCCACAAGACCTAGCCATCAGGTCACCAGATACACAGAGGATGTATTTCGTCGGCTCTCCCTTTTTTCCGAGGGGAGGTTAAGTGAATGGCCACACTAGGATCGGTCACACACTAACTTTCTGCGAACAATTTTCGTGTTAGCTCCGTACTTGTTGAGACCTTACCGCCGGAGACGGATATCTGTGGGATAAGGCTAAGTGTGCATTTTTAGGGTCGACCTTTTCTAACCCCACTCCTCGTTGTGGGAAGGCAGAATCCCTGTTATGCTAGTTGTCTGAAGGAAACACTTTGCTGCCATCACACCTCTGTACAGTCAGCAGTACGACTTCGCGTTTGAACCTTGGGTTTGCTGATTTTAGCCCTACCATTCTTCAACCGACCTGTCTGGCATGGTAGGACCTCGAGGGATGATTTGTCCAATCAGTATAGCTTTATAGTCCAACCACCAAATCAAGGTAGCAACCACGATCGGGTTTTGTCTGACTATAAATATTGAATTACGCTTGATCAAAACTAGTCGGTTGCACTCTTCATCGACACTATAGTGCTACATAGTTTGAGATTCTGAAAATGATCGATACTCAAAAAAGTGTATGGGGAATGAAATAACTAAATACTACCGAAGTCATTGAATATAATTCATGGAAAATGGAGAAGTTAACTGTACAACAATCACCTTAAGTAGGTATGATAAATTTAAGGTTGATTTTTTCTGTCATATGTTGTATTTGTTGATATATCAATGCTAACATCGTTCACAAACATGAGATAGCAAAATAAATAGTCACCATCATGCAGCTAATTGCATCCTGTTTCGTCTATTTAGGTTGCTTGGATTTACTCGTCTAATCAGGGATTCGAATGCCAGGGTTAGGGTCAGTAGAAATTAAAAACTATTCGGATTGTCTCGATATAGTGATTGGCTGTCTGGGCTCATCAGCTATTTAGATAACGCGATAGCATTTTAATCGGAAGGTATTGGGTTCGTGTCCCACCGTAGACACTAACTCGGTGATACAAGCGAATTCATTTGACGAGTCTCAAAGCAGACAAAACGCGCGTCCTGGATTCCACTGCTAACCACACTCCATTTATTTTAGAGTGGCCTCCGAATGCCCTAATACGGCTGAGAGTGGGGAGTCATTTCTCCCACCAAATTTTATATGTTTTTAATCTCCTTTTTATCAACATTTCACAAATCCTAATGAGTAGTTTATTTTTAGACATGTCTAGGAATTCGTTTTATACTAACTGGTACACCAGTTCAAAATAACTTAGAAGAGTTGTTCAATTTACTGCATTTTGTCGCACCTAACTATTTCCATGGAAAATTACGTTCTACATTTTTAAGTCATTTTGGCAATACAGATAAAAGTGAGTACATTGATTAGAAATAGCTTAGTTCATTTAATTTTGAACATTTCAATATTTTATTCTTAGTACATGACCTGTTTAATAAATATATAAACTATCATATGCTCACTAGTGACTGTCTTCAAGAGTTATTTCCTGGAGTTCTAGATAGAAGTTGTGACCAGTGGAGTTCAACTGGGTCTGTTGTGAGATAGTAACTCACTTAAAACAATGGTGGACATGTGCCGCGATTTCGTGGATTGGTTGAAGTTAGACATTAATACCGTTGGATGCCGGCTGGCTCAGTAGTCTAAAGACTAAGCATTCGCGCGCGCGAGACCGATAGGTCATAGGTTCGAATCTCGTGGGGCGGGAGAGTCGATGTGCGCTGCTGAGGAGTCCCGCAACGGGACGAAACGGTCGTCCGGTACTTCTAGATTTTTCATAGTGATCTAGCTTTAATTGACTCATGAATTCAATTAATAAATTGCTGCAATGTCCACAAAACCCTTCTCTGCTTAGACTACCAGTAAATACGCATAGCACTTAAAATTATTATGAAAATATGTATAACATTCAAACCCTTTGATTTTTGTGTATCTGAAAGATTCTTGGATTCTGAAAAAATTGTTTTTGCGCATAATTCTAACGGTACACCTAAATTATACTAGTGATCTACATTGAGGTGCCAATCGTTCCTGTCAATCAGCAGACAGCAAAAATAAATGAATGATTGACTACACGACTGTTGGGATATTCAGGAAAATATCCCAAAAATTATTCTGTTAAGTCTAACGCTATCCTTTGACTTGAGATGGTGTCATTTTCTTATTGGTCAATATTTATTTCACGTGTCATTTTCCTACTGGTCAATATTGTACAATGTTATTCTCTATTTTATGCTACGATGTGGTCTGCTTGATTAGTATACAAACAGAGTGTGTTTGAAATATAATGATTCATATCCTGTGGCTGAGACTTGTGTTCTGAACTCAACTGGCTGGGCTAGACAGGGAAGCGGGACCAATCAGAACCCTAGGTCGTTCTTACGTGTTTGCGCGTCTTTGGTCCGATCGATAGTTCGCTACTCTCTAATCTGCGGCATCACAGTTATGGCAACTACCATACTATGGATTAAGATTAAAATATATTTTCAAAGGCTCGCGCGTTACAGTTGATGTTAGTTCGTGATAAGAAATCAAACTTTAACATATAACCCTTAACACTAGCTCTTAACTATTTGAAATTTGCGTTATAAATTTTTTCGTTCCTCGTTGGTTCGATAGTATACTATTGCCCCCAAATGCCCCGGTGTGGCCGAGAGTGGGGTGAGAGCAGTTTCGCTCTATGCTTGTGAAACCTGGCCTCTCCGGGTTGAGGATGTTAGACGACTCAGTGTTCGATCATCGCTGTCTCCGAAGGATTGCTGACATCGAGTGGCAACACCATGTCAGCAATGCAGAGGTTCGGCATCGTGTGTTCAGGCACAGAGACGATAATGCAATTGGTGGCACCATCTTGAAACACCGACTTCTGTGGCTTGGACATGTTCTACGAATGTCGTCCAGAGAATTTCACATCGTGCATTATTTGCCGACTCTGGGACTGATTGGAAAAAGAGAGGTGGTCAGTGTATGACATGATGTCGGGGTATGAAATAAAGCTGCATAGGGCTGGCTTCTGTTGGTGCTTCACGACTCGCTGGCTGGGGTCCTAGAGATGGTGCAACACAGTGTCTAGAGACGTTATCAGATATGGCTCAGATTAGAAGCCAGTGGCGATCCTGCTGTAACCTTCTTTTACTTTCTTCATAAGAAATGGTTGTTTCTTCTTTAACTGAAAGACTTCTTCTGATTGTACTTTTTCGTTTCCCCCATTATTAATATTACACAACCTTACACTAAGCTGTTCGTTATTGTTCTATTTTACGCTCTTTATCTTTTTTCTCTTCGAATTCTCATTGTTTTGTGTGGCGCATATATATTTGGCGCCCTCTTGTACCAATATTTATGTGTTCAAATAAATAAATAAATAATAACCATTCTAATAAAACACTTTAGATTTATTGGAAACACGAACCGATCTGATTCCGATAACCAATAAAAACCTGGGTGGATTGGACAGTTATTTTGTCCTAGTATGGCATTCATCAGCAGTATGCTTCCACACCACACCGTGAAAGATCAAACCGAAAACCTCTTCTCATGACAAACGCTTAACCTCTAGATCACTGGACCAGGGGTCAGTTTATGATATCAAGTGACCATCTTTCATTGTCTTTAGTGGGTACCTTCTTAATATTTGAAATGATTGAATTCTATCGGTCCAATGGTTTAGAAAGATGTATAAAGTAACACAACATCCGACAAGTTTGATTTTCAAAGACTTCTATGGATATTCTAGAAAGAGTAGATAGAGATACAAAAAGCATATTGTTCACAAATGAGGAGTAATTTGAAGGGAATCAGATTGATGTACCTTAGATTCCGTAAAATAAAACTTTTATAACTTCACTTTGTGTACTTATTAGACAGACTAACATTTAAATTAACCCCACAAAACCTGGCACTTGGTAACTGAATATCAACGATTTGAACAATTAGGTACAAATTTTTGGTTAATAAATAAACAAGAAATATATAATAGAAGCTATAATCAAATTATACTACTAATTTCACTGTTCAAAAATAGACATATTTGAGCCTTCATAAATGTACTATGATAATTCTGTTTTGTTCACTGACTTCAATGGTATTCAATTCATTCTATCCTACTTTATAATTTATTCAGTAGTAAATGTATATTACCATATTAGATTCTTTTTTTAATTTTTATCATATCATGAAGATGAAACAGACCAAGATATGGCGAAAATTTTACGTCCATTCCTTTTACGGCGTATTAAACAAAATGTCTTAACTGATTTACCACCACGTGCAGATATTTTAATCTATCATTCATTAACTAGTTTACAAACACAAATTTATCGGGCTCTATTAACACGAAATGCAGGTTAGTTTGTTGTTTTTATGTAGTTATGTTTCACAATAAAATTTTCCATTAGTGATAAGAGGCCTGCAGTCATTGTTTGGTTGATGTTAAATCTAACGTAGTATTCAACCACACCTCTGAGACATACGTGAAGATGTACATTTAAAAAATAAAGGTTTTCTCTAAGAGATGGTTCTATTTTTTTACAAACTTCATGTGAATTAATCACAAACTTCAATTTATAAGGTATCTGTAGTAGTTAACAAGCCTGTATATATGAAAGGGAAATTGACTCCTGCAGAATGATCGACTGCAACGTATAATAGAGCAAATGACAGCTGATACCTGCTTATTTATTCATTTATTTGAACATATAAATATTGATACAAAGGGGCACCGAATACATAAACGCCACACAAGTCATTTGATATATATTTGGGCTGTGATACTGTCTGGGTGCCAAAACCGAAGCAGGTGGTTTTCTTAGGGTGCCATGCCCAGAGGTTTCGACTTAAAGGTTTGATCTACATGACTGGGGCAACATAAGGAAATGCAGTCCCATGGTAGCCGGTGACCAATAATAGGTTCATATGCTATTTGTTCCCTCAGGATACTGAGGCCAAAATACATCATTGCTTGGAATGAGGGTTTTCCAACTCCCATAAGGGGATTGTCCATTTCCATCAACCCGGTTAAAGCTCCGGACATTCACTGTTCGTTCTCTCAATTTTTTAAACAACAGTAATGCTGCGAGAAGGTAGTGAGTAGGACTTTCCTGGAAATGGCTGTATACACGTGGCCATGTGAGAGCGTTTGGAGAAAGAGAGCTGACTTTCTCCACTCTCGACCGTACCAGGGCATTTACAGGCTGTGATACCTGTGTTTAGTGTCAATAGTTACTGTCAACAATCGAACTAAGAACAAGAGCTCAAAACGTGGAAGCGTTTACACAAAAATTCAAAAAAATGCACTAAAATTAAAAGCGATTGTTACTTACACCTGTTACCCCTCGTGGAGGTGCATAGGCCGCCCATCAGCACTCTCCATCCAACTCTATAATGGCAATGATTTTCAGTTCTTTCCAGTTCCTAGTCATCCTTTTCACGTCTACTTCCAATTCTCGGTGCAGTGCGTTCTTTGGTCTTCCTCTTTTCAGTTTCCCTTCAGGATTCCAAGTTAGCAATTGCCTCATGATGCAGTTTGGTGATTTCCGTAATGTGTAACCTATCCACTTCCAACATCTTTTCCTACTTTCCTCTTCAACTGGAAGTTGGTTTGTTCTCTCCCACAGTAGGCTATTACTGATGGTATCCGGTCAACGGATATTGAGTATCTTGTATAGACAACTATTTATAGATACGTGTACCTTTTTGGTAATGATTGTAGTAGTTCTCAACGTATCAGCTACGTATAGTATGGCTGTTCTGACGTTCGTATTAAATATTCTAACTTTGATATTAGTTGTTAGACAGTTGTTTTGAGTTCCATATGTTCTTCAACCGTAGGAATGCAGCCTTTTCTTTATCAATCCTCGTCATTACGTGAACATCATATCCTCCTTGTTCATGAATGATGTTGTCCAGGTACGTGATAGATTCCAGAACTTTTATAGCTTATCTACCAAGTTTGATTGTGTTGGTGTTCTCTGTGTTGTATTTAGGGATCTTGCATTTGTTCGTGTGTATGGGATAGATGAGCTAGGTCATCTGCGAAGTCCAAATCTTCTAATTGATTCCGTGTTCTCTATCGTATGCCGTGTCTCCTCTCATATGTCGATCTTCATAATCCAGTTGATCACCAGAAGAAAGAGGAAGGGAGAGAATAAGCAGCCTTGTCCGATACTATCAGCCATCTTCCATGAACGACTTTGCAGTGTAATCTGTTGTATGAATTACGTATGATATTGAAGATCTCAGGTACTCCATAGTGTCGAAGAAGTCCCCATAATGTTCTCTTATCCACACTGTCAAATGCTTTCTCATAGTCAAGGAATTTGATGTATATTGACGAGTTCCATTCAATTGATTGTTCAACGATGATCCGTAGTGTCACAATTTGGTCTGTGCACAACCGATCCTTACGGAATCCAGCTTGTTGATCTCGTAGTTGGGCGTCTACTGAATCTTTCATCTGATTCAGCAGCGCTCTGTTGAAAACCTTTCCTGGTCCCGATAGTAATGTGATGCCTCTTTGATTCTCACATTTTCACCGACCTCCTTTCTTTGGACTTTTGATGAAGTGCACAAGCAAGTGACTATCAGAACTCAGTAGCTAAGTGGATAATGCGATAGCATTTTAAGCGAACGTTATTGGGTTTGAGTCCCAGAGTAAACATCAACACTGAGATGTAGGTACATCCAGCTGACGAGTTCCAAACAAGACGAAACGTACATCATGAATTCCACTATTAGTCACTATCCATCTTTGTTTATAATATTTTAGTGTTCGTTCTATTTAATTAATTTGTACACTTTATAATTTTTACGTTATCTAATGTTTTACAGATTTATTTCAATCTATTACTGGTCAACATAATAATGATCTACGTATTCACAATCGTTTACAGAACTTGATTATGAATTTAAGAAAATGTGTAAATCATCCATATTTATTTGATGGTTAGTTTATTCTTGGTTAAAATTACCCAATGTAATTTTCAATATGGTATATTTCTTTTAATGATCTCAATCAATTCTAGTTATATGACAATTTTCTCAAATAAGTATAAGTCAGGCAGTCAGCTACAACGTAGGACCAGGCACATATATGCATCGGTCCAAGTTGCCATTCCTCATTAACACAACAGGATGAACACCAGATTCATAAAAGCAGTTAATTCAGAGGTGGTAATATATAAAAGAAAGATTGCATATTAGGATATAGTATAGGAAGAAAGAATTAGTTCGTAGAAAGAAAGATGTGAAGCGATTTTAATTTCATAGTTTAAGGGAAGACAGAGAATGTATACACCGACGCCATTGTGATCGATTCTGAGCCATGTCACTAAGAGTCTCAAACCATTGGTTACGATAGTCACGCGGACCCCAACCAAGTAGTCTGCATCTACTAGCATGGCTCAGATTAGAAGTTAGTGTCTTCAAACACTGATGCCACGTTTTGGTTTGACCGCCCCTAACTTTCTTCCAACCGTCTCCAAAACTAGTGAGCATTGCACGTCGTGGTAATCGATGTTCAGGTATGCGTAACACATATCCCAACCATTTTAGTTGATGAAGATTCACAACTTCATCAACTTATTTACCGTCATCATTTCCCTAATACCCTACGTTTAACCTCACTATTATTTACGCGGTGATCCCAGCAGATGCGAGGAATATTTCTAGACTATTTAGAGATGTCAACTCAAACCGTAAACAAAGTAGTCTTATGAACAGAAGCTTTACTCCTAGTGAATCAAGAGTATATATCGTTTAATGTGGCTTTGATCTTCTAGAGCTTTCTGAAAGCATAACAATAGCATAACTAATTATTCATTCAAAAAACATGATATATGGTCCTTCATTTATGTAGACATTTTTGAGATACCTCTATTCAATCCTGATTACATAAAACATATCTTGGCATTTTCTGTACTTCTAGAGATTTTGTCAGGGGGATATTTTTGAACCACTTCCATCGAATAAACTTGCACATTCAATGCACCCAATTAAATGAATTTCAATAAATGATTTCACTATTATATTCATGAAAAAAAAAAGATATTCATTTTATTATATTTATCTGTTTTTATTTAGGTATAGAACCAGAACCATTCACACTTGGTGAACATTTAATTCAAACAAGTTCAAAACTTTTTCTATTAGATCTTCTTTTACAATTTTTATATAATCCTAATCATTCTAATTTGGATAAATCATTTTATTCTTTTAATTTAAAACCTGTACATAAAGTTTTAATCTTTTCTCAAATGACTCGTATGCTTGATATTATACAAGATTATATGACTTTAAAAGGTATGTTCTTATTGTTTGTAAATGATTATTCAACTTTATTTATATGAAATTGTAGAAAGTTCAATTGGTTTTATTATGTATACTTGTATTATAAGACTTTCCAACAAAATTCTTTTATGATCCAGTTAGAGATGTTGAACTCAATACCTTCACATCATGTGTCGATTGTGTTATATTTCAAAGTGGTTGATCAAACGGTTAAGTTGTCCAATTTTCGGTCACTAAGTATTAGGTGCGAACCTTGTTCCACTTACTTCGATTTCGGGTAGTGAGTAGTATCGTTGGTCATCCTAATTAAGGTTTGGCTAACACTCATGTACCTGGTCAATGATTTAAATTTATGTATTTTCACTGGTTGAAATCATGAGTTAATTGAAGCTAGACCACCATGGAAAACCTGAGATAGGAACTCACTGAAGACAATGGTGTATGGTGGCGCGACTTTGTGGATTGTTTGAAGTTAGACATTAACACCGTTGGATACCGGCCCAGTGGTCTAGTTGGTTAAGCGCCTGGCGCGAAACCGATGGGTCCTGGGTTCGAATCTCGCGGGGTGTGGGATCGTGGATGCTCACTGGTGAGGAATCTCATACTAAGACGAAACGGCCTTCCAGTACTTCCAGGTTTTCCACAGTGGTCTAGCTTCAACTGACTCGTGACTTCAACCAGTGAAATTTCTAAAAATCTCCACAAAACCCATTCTGATAATTTATGTATTTATTTTATATTCCAGATCACTGAGTTTACATTTAAGGTTTCATATCTCCAACTTCATTCAACCTGCGACTTTACATAACCATAATCTATTTTGATTAGTGTTATGTGTTTCACTTATGATGTGATTTCACCCCATCGACTACAACTTCTGAAAAGAAGTTTCGGAGTTTGTCACTAATAAGTACTTGTTTTTTTATCATCATAGGAGATTTGTTAGGATAATTTTCATCACAGAATGTAAAGTATTGAATCCTAACTGAATGTTCTAAAAGATAATACTTGCTTCACATGATATTTTAAAGTCTAAGTGTCCTATACTTTGCAAATTCGTTAGTGTCCTTTATTGGAGAGTCTTAGTGTAGACGATAAATTGTATTTAACATTTGATCAAATGGATAAGTTCCATTGTTTCTTTCAAAATATGAAACATGTTTGACCAATAAAAAACAACACATAATTTCAATTTAATAATTGAATTCATGAGTCAATTAAAGCTAAACCACCATGAAAAATCTTGAAGTACTGGATGGCTGTTCCGTTCTATTGTGGGACTCCTCCTTGGCAGTGCGCACCCACGATCCCGCCTCACCATATTCGAACCCATGACCTATCGATCTCGTGCGCGAACGTTTAACCTTGAGACCACTGAGCCAACCGGCATCCAACGGTGTTAATGTATAACTTCAACTAATCCACAAAATTAACTCATGAATTCAATTATTAAATTACTACAATCTCCACAAAACCCCTCTCTGAACATAATTTCAAGCTAACCAATAACTACATCAGTTCACTGATTTCTTAAATTAGTATTTCACTTCTAGTTACACTTTTATTATCAGAGTTAGCAATATTAAGCGATAGCCGAAGCTGAAATAGGTAATACAAGGTTCGAACGTGTTACTTATTAGTTAAATGTCAAATACTTTAACTTTTCAGTTACCATTTCATTCTTTAACTTAAGAATTCTAAAAGATAATTTGATCATTTTTAAGTTTTATTCCATTTCTATGTATTTGGGATGAATTGTAAATACAGTGTAACCAATTTGACCTAGTATTTCTAGTTTTCAATGATTTGTCAATTATTATCAGCAGTACATGATTAAAAAGATCTTCAAGTTGATACTTTTTCTACCTTTTTATTTTTTAATTACCATAGGTTATAGTTATGAACGTTTAGATGGTTCAGTACGTGGTGAAGATCGTTTTCAAGCTGTTAAAAGTTTTAATGAAGATCAAGAAACATTTGTGTTTCTACTTAGTACTCGTGCAGGTGAAAATGTTTTTTTTTTCTTCTCCTGTTTCATATTGACCATAATTTAACTAAAACTGATAAAGAATTGTTAGATAGGATAGGAAGCATTTCCTGGAGTTCTAGTGAGAAGCAGTGACCAATGAAGTTCAACCACGTCTGTTATGAGATATAAACTCACTGAGGACAATGGTGTACGGTGGCGCAACTTCTGAAGATAGGATATGTGTTTGTGGAAATGTATAATCTATTAGAAATATATACTCATTCAAAATTTGTAACTCATTTGACATTCTACGAAAAAAAAGGTTTAATTCAATTAGTGTTATAACGCTCGGTTTTACTTCGTCTACACGTATGGGAGGTTAATTTACCTTAGACGAATATCTACACTAGATTCCCTCTCATTGTCTATTATTCTACAGCAATTTAACACAACTCAGATCAAGAACACGCGATTAGCCTGATTATAATGTAAATATATTTTCACACCAAAAACCCGACACAATCCAACAACAATGAACAATCAATAAAAATATTTATTTTTCTCAACACATAGATATCGGTACAAGGGGGCACCAAATACATATGCGCCACAAAAATCTCATTTGATTTGTGGAAGGTATGTAATACTGCCCGGGTGCCCAAACCGAAGCACGTGGTTTTCTTAGAGAGCCACACACGGAGCCTTCTACCTAAAGGTCTAATCCACAAGGCAGTGAAGCACCGTAGGGAGATGCAGTCTCATGGTAGCCATCGACCAACGATCGATTCATACGCTATTTATTCCCTCAGGATACTGGAGCCCATGTTCACCATTAGTTTGGAATGAGGTTTTTCCAACTCCCATAGTTGAACTCTCCGTATCCACCAACCCGGTTAAACCGTCGGACATTCGCTTTTCGTCCTCTCAATTTCCTAAACAACAGTATTGATGCGAGAAGGTAGTGAGTTGGACTTCCCTGACAAAGGCTAAATACGCGTAGTCGTGTGAGGGGATTTCGAGAGGGAGAGATTACTGTCCCCACTCTCGATCGTACCAGGGCATTTGGGGTCAATAATAATAATAATAATAATAATAATAATAATAATAATAATAATAATAATAATAATAATAATAATAATAATAATAAGGATATGGGAATATATAACTCATCTATCACCTGTCAGACCATCTACTTGTCTGATTAAGCAGACAATCAATCATTATCATTCTCGCCCACACATCAGTCAGTCAGCATCAACGTAGAACATCGTACTTACGTACATCATTTTAAGTTTCCATATCACATATCTGTAACAGCGCACGAGAAGTTCAATTAAAAGTTTGAGAATGTGCAGATTTATTCAGCCTATTGATCATTTGAAACAAAGTTCATTGAACCATTGATATCAGGAAGTAGATATGAGTATGAATATATAATTCACTATGATTTACCAAACCAATCTCTTTGAATCTTCTTTTATTTCTCAGGTGGTCAGGGTTTGAATCTAGTCTCTGCTGATACTGTTATCTTTGTTGATAATGATTTTAATCCACAAATCGATGTACAAGCCGCTGGGCGTGCTCATCGTATCGGTCAAACCAAGTAAGTATTAATTATGTAATAAGAATAATTTTTTTCTAAGAATATCATTGAAAACTTATCATCTTACTGACACTGTACGTAAAAAACGATTGTAACTTATCTTGAAATTATACAAATTTAAAGCTTTCTATAAAATAACCAATTCTCTTCGAAACGCCTCAGTTTATATTGGAAGTGTCATCACCCCTGAACGATGGTTCGTGTCTGACGAAATTTAGAAAACCCGATTGATTTTCGCCAACTTTCGTCACTTGTATCGTAGATGAAATATCTATTCCCGAACCAGTGTACACATCTATCAGGTTTTACATGATGTATAACTGGCTGATTAACTAGTAATTTATAATACACTATTTCACTCCTAAATTCTAATCTTCTGAATTCTTCACATCTCTTTTTTGTCTCTTTTCAAATTTATTTCAATGGATTATACTCCTTTAATAACATCTTCAAACCTTAATCTTTTTGATTACTGCTTATGATTTTACTACCTCTACCACTATGGGATTTGAATCGACAATTTTATCTCTGTGCTAATTTGGTATAGCAACTTGAACTGATGTACTTACGTACGATGTTCTACTTTGTTGCTGACTGACTGACTGACTCTTTAAAAGGTCAGTCATTTGTAAATTCCTCCTTAACTTATATCAAAGAGGATTATTCAAATGAATATGTTGTTATTTCTTTTTGTTTTTTATTAGGCCAGTTCGAATAATAAGACTTGTTTGCCGGCATACTGTTGAAGAAGCAATATTATCTCGTGCAGAGACCAAATTAAAATTAGCAACTCGTGTATTAAATACGACAGATTTAAAAAATCTAGAAAATAAAACTGATAAACCATTCACATTCGATGAGGTAAACATAATTTAAAGTTAAAGTAATTTAAGATAATAACAGTTCTGTTTACTTTTTCAAAAAAGTGAGTGTGTGTGTGTATGTGTTAGCTTTTGCTTAATAGGTCAATTTGATGATAATGGTCTCTGTCACAGATGGAGATTAAACTGAATAACCAGGAACAACTGAGACAGTATAGCTATTTCCTATGCTGTCTGGTGCCGGCTCAGTGATCTAGAGGTTAAGCGTTCGCGCGCACGAGACCGGTAGGTTCTGGGTTCGAATCTCGCAAGGCGGGATCATGGATACGCACTGCTGAAAATTCCCACAATAAGATGAAACGGCCGTCTAGTGCTTTCAGGTTTTCTATGATGATCTAGCTTCAATTAACTCATGATCTCAACTATTAAAAAACTGCTATGGTATCCACAAAACCTCTTCTGATATTAATTAGTTTTCTAGTTGGATGTTAGTGCATGACGAAATGTATCTCCAAATGTAATGTATTTTGAGTTGATAAAATCCCTTTATTTGAAGCTAGTTCCTTCTATTTTACAATCCCATTTTACTGATTTTCATTATTTTTTTTTTCTGTTAAAAATCAAAATTAACCAATATCTCAGGAAATCATAAATGTATTTTGATATTAGGGGAGTTGAAGTCAATAAGTAGGTAGCTTCATTTTACTTAGGTTTGATACTATTTGTCACTCATTAAATTATAACTGTAATCTTGAGAGAACTACTATCTCTCATAGTATATGGACCCTTGTCACAATCGTAAACGTTAACAATGGTCCATTCGGTTAACGACTAATCATCTATTGGACCTGAATAGCATTCAATCAGAATTGAAGATTTAAAAAAATATGACATTGTTTATCACTGAGTGATCAACTAGAAAATTCATAGAAATCCATCTCATCATAATTTTGAATATTTGTACAGTCGTTATTTATATTCCAATGAGATTCGTGAATTTATCCAGTGTTCCCATTCTTAGATGTATTGATGAATATTTATTTATTTAAACAAATAAACATTGGTACAAGGAGGCACCACATAAATCATTCGATTTATGTGAGGGCTTGGGTGCCCAAACCGAAACAGGTGGTTTTGTTAAGGGGCCATTTGGAGCTTTTCACCTAAAGGTCTAATCCACAAAGTAGTGGAGCAACGTGAGGAGATGCAGTCCCATGGTAGCCATTGACCAAAAATTGGTTCATACACCATTTGTTGCTCTAGGATACGGGAGCCAAAATGCATCATTGTTTGGAATGAGGGTTTTCCAACACTCCTAGGTGGACTGTCCGTGTCCACCAACCCGGTTAAAGCGTCGGATATTCGCTTTTCATCCTCTCAATTTCGTAAACAACAGTAATGCCACGAGAAGTTAGTGAGTAGGACTTCCCTGGCAGTGGTTGACGAATAAGTCTTCTACAGTATGAATAATTTTTAAAAAAGTGTATTTATATATAAAATACCCTTGTTATTGTCTTACAGTTTATTTCACTTTTTGATTACCACAGTTGAATAATGTTCTTAAATTTGGATTGGCTAAACTACTCAAGACAACTGATAACGATGTTGGTAACAATAATGAGGATGACAAGAAAGTTAATCTGAATTTTACTCAAATACTTGGTGAAACAGATCATGAAACAGGACACTGGTTACCAGTTCCTCCATCTACCGTAAATAATGGCACCTTAGAAGAACAGATAAATTCTTGTGGTTGGGTGCTACTCACAAATGAACCGTTTCACTGTGAACCTAGTGAAGCTGATCAAGAAGCAGTTAAAAAGTTGCAACAAGGTAGTGAATTAGCGTTATGACGTAATCACGTTAAATTTTTCCCGATTGATTGTCTCTTTTGATAACAAAAAAAATAATAGATGTTAATTTGTCATGGTTTGGCTTATTCCATTGACTGAAATTCGATCAGTCTTATTCTGGGATATAAGTTCACTTAGCTGACGAGTCCCAAGTCTAACAGTTGAAGGGATAAGCTTTGATCCGTATTGTTATAATAACTTAGTCGTTAAAGCATTCAGTATACAACCATTATGATGGCATCAATTTGTACTTTGCTTCATATACTTTGCTTGTAGTCATCACCTGAGTATCCTTTCTTCACAATAAAGTGTGATTACTGTAGTGAGTTTTGTGGAGATGATTAAATCTTCGTAGTTTATATCACTAACTTATTTTAGTTAGACCATCATTAGGAACCAGGAAACACTGAACAGTTGATTCGTCTTAGTAGAGGACTCTTCAACAATGCCTGTTCATGACTCCATCATAGGGGGTTGAACTCAAGACCTCTCATATGTGTTCATTTACACCATTGAATACCAGTATTCTAGAAGCCAAGTGTTTGCACACAAGATCGGAGGTCCTGGGTTCCATCTCCTGTGGTAGGATCGTGGAGGATCATTGTTGAAGAGTCCCATTCTGTGACAAAAAAGCTGTCCGATGCTTTCTAGTTTTCAATAGTGGTCTAACTATAATCACTTTGTGATTTAAGCCACATAGTGTAGTTCAAAGTTAACTATATGGAAAATACCTATATTGGATACAGCAATTTCATTATTACTTTTTATTGTTTTAGACTATGAATTAACCAAATCTAAATTAAGCGTTGAAGATGATGAATTGCTTGCATCAGAAAATATTACAGGATTTGGTGTATCGAATTCTACTTTCACCAAACTGAATAAGCATCGCAAAAAGTTAACACCAGAAGAAATTGAAGCTCGTAATAAAAAGGTATCATTTACTAGTTTTATTATTATCGTTATTATTACTTGAAAATATCTTAGACAACACTATTTAACAAGCTTCAATTTCGAGTTGATGATATTTGTAATTAAGGTTGTAAGAGAACTACGGCTAGTAACTCAGAGGTTGCCCCCAAATGCCCTGGTACGGCCGAGAAAGAGGAGAGTCAGCTCTCCCTCTCGTGATGCTCTCACCTGGCCACACGTATACAGCCACTGCCAATGAAGTCCTACTTACTGCCTTCTCGTGATGGGAGTGTTGTTTACGAAATTGAGAGGACGCTTTAACCGGGTCAGTGGACACGGACAGTCCACCTAGGGAAGTTGAAAAACCCTCATTTCAAACTAATGGTGCACATGGGTTCCTGTATCCTGAGGGAATAAATAGCGTATGAACCAATCGTTGGTCACTGGCTACAATGGAACTACATCTCCTGACGTTGCTCTACTTCCTTATGGATCAGACCTTTAGGTTAGTGTCTCGAGGTGTGTCCCCCGGGGAGTATTACAGCTCACACACAAATCAAGTGACTTGTGTGGCGCATATGTATTCAGTGCCCCTTTGTACCATTATTTATGTACTCAAATAAATAAGACTCAGAGGTTGTTTGTTCAAATCCAACATCTGCTCAGATTTTCTTTCAAATTCAATCACATTTCTTCATACTTAGCAAAATTGTTGTCCAGAAAATAAATCGAGCTCAGTACATCTTATGATTACATCCTGATTAGTTTAATATTTTGTTAGAATTGTGTGCACAGATAATTTTCACAAATATACTTAAACGATGGTACAAGGAGGCACCAAATAGATATGTGCCACATAAATCATCCAATTTATGTGAGGAATGTGGTACTGCCTTGGGTGCCCTAACCACAAATACACTGCATCAGCAATCACCTTGGCAACATAAACGATCGAGTTATCTTGAAAAACCACATTCAACAGTTAATGAATTTCCAAAGTGTTTAGATATGTCTATAACTAACATCCTTAGTAGTTCGTTTCATATATTTATTGGATATATTATGTACATTTATTAATTTATATTTAACGTATGTATTTGTTGTTTTAAAATTTACAATTAGGCTGCTGAGACTAAAGCTAAACGTGAATATAAACGAAAAGAAAATGAAGCAATTCGGAGCGCTGAGCGTTTAGAAAGAAAGTAAGCTAGGTTTTTTTTGTAGTAAAAATGATATTTTGTACATTATTTGTTCATCAGTGGTCTTGAGGGCGGTTGTCATTTCCCAGTTGCCCACACAGTGAAAGGATTCTTCTCGAGGTACCTGAATTAGAAATTGGGTTAGAGGTAGTCTTAGTGACCTGAGAGCGTGACCCCATTGCTCAAGGGATAACTGCTTGAGGTCAGTCACACACTAACTTTCTGCGAGCAATTTTCGTGTTATACCCGTACTTACCGTCGGTGATGGATATCTGTGGGATAAGGCGAAGTGTGTATTTTTAAGGTTGACCTTTTCCAACCCCACCCTTTCTTGTGGGAAGTCAGCATCGCTGTTATGCTGGTTGTCTGAATTTTGGGTTTGCTGCTTTTAGTCTTACCGTTCTTCAACCGACTTGTCTGGCATGGTAGGACCTTGAGGGATGATTGTTCCAACCAGTGTAGCTCTATTGGTTCATCACAACAACCACATCAAGGTAACAACAACGGTCGGGTTATTTGTTTATAGTTTATAGTGTGTATATTTTATAATTCCCATTACTTCATCTGTTATGCGATATGTTTTCAGTCTTTAGCATAAAAATTGGTCTTAAACATAGTATGTAACGATGCTATTATATTGTATCAAAAGAATAGATAATATCTTCCTTTTCAAGAAAGACAAACACGACTATTTAAGCATTAATTATATGTTCTTGGGTTTCACTGCTAGCCATTATTCATCTTTGCTTATACTTCTTGTGACTTGAGGCAATATAGAAGCAGTTCGTACAGGATGCACATACGCCAATAAGAGACTGATCAATTGCAATCTTAAACATCAAGGGAAGATTCAGGTAAACAATACCAAGTGAATTTAATCTTCACCCGATTACACAAGCAGACGCCTATCAGGACTCAATAACTAAGTAGATAAAGCGATGGCATTTGAAACGAACGGTACTGTGTTCAAGCCCCAGAGTGAATATCAACTCTGGGATACAGGTAAATCCAACTGAACAGTCCCAAATAGGACGAAACCACTGCTAGTCACCATCTGTCTTTGCTTATACTTCTTGAGGCAATATCGAGGCATTCTGCACATGACACACATATGTCAATAAGAGACTGATCAGTTTCAGGCCTATACATCAATGTAAAGATTCAAATAAACAATCAAAATGAAGTTAAGTGTTATACTTCAAATTAAGGAACAATAAATGTGATATATAAAGTTTTAATCGTTAGTAATAGATATCTAACATCTGTTTACTGAAGGTATGATTGTTACTTTAAGTGTGACCTTAAATTTAACCCTTAATAATCATTAATCTAACGAATTTGTTGACAAATTTTTCGAGTGTATGAAGTTTACCTGAGATCTTAGTTGTTGAACAGCAAGATATTTTATGAAATCAGTTATGTCATATTTATGGTATGGTTGTATAGCCATTCACTTAAGTACTTTAGAATGTTAACTGGAGCATTATCAAAATAATAGAAATCTAAACATTGGTTGGATTTAGTGTTCTTGATGTCTATAGTTACAGTGTAGTGAACAAGAACTCAGGTGATTGCTTAATATAAAATTACAGAATATCTTCATAAAATATGAGAACTATATATTAAATACTTCATTTGCAAATCTTCCATCGTTTGTCCTTTGCATTCTGTATGATTCTTTCAATTGATTGCGTCCAAGCTATTGGCTTCCGTTATACTTCGTAGATTGTTCAAAACCCGAGAAAAATTGACTTGCGAGGAGCAGGCTGGTTTTCGTTCTGGTCGAGGATGTATTGATCATATATTCACCCTCCGCCAAATGTTAGAACACCGTCATACTTATCAAAGGCCAACAATCGTAGCGTTTCTTGACATCAGGGTTGCCTTCGATTCGTTGGATAGGACTGTTCTCTGGGATTGTCTATTGAAGAAGGGTGTGCCTGAGAAGTTTATTAACATCCTAAAAGCCCTATATAAAAACACCTCAGGCAGAGTGAGGGCATACAACCACCTTTCTCCATTGTTCCATTCGAATAGTGGGGTTAGGCAGGGTTGCCCAATCTCACCATTCCTCTTCAACTTTGCCATCGATGACATCCTGGAAACAGCTCTGATGGATGTACGTAATGGCGGTGTGGATCTGTTGCCTGGTGAGCAGATAGAAGTAGTCGAGAAGTTCGTTTATCTAGGTAGCTGCATAAGTGCTAGTGGGGGTGTGTGTGATGAGATCAATGCACGTATAGTGAAAGCCAGATCGACTTATGCCAATCTGGGCCATCTTTGGCGTCTTCGTGATGTTAGTCTGGCTGTAAAAGGTCAGATCTACAACGCATCGGTGAGAGCAGTTTTGCTCTATGCTTGTGAAACCTGGCCTCTCCGAGTTGAGGACGTTAGACGACTGTCTGTGTTCGATCATCGCTGTCTCCGAAGAATTGCTGACATTCAGTGGCAACACCATGTCAGTAATGCAGAGGTTCGGCATCGTGTGTTCGGGCACAGAGATGATAATTCAACTGGTGTTACCATCTTGAAACACCGACTTCTGTTGCTTGGACATGTTCTACGAATGTCGTCCTAGAGAATTCCGCATCGTGCATTATTTGCCGACTCGGACTAGTTGGAAAAAGCGGGGTGGAGAAGTGTTCAGTATATGACATGGTGTCGTCGTATGAAAGAAAGCTGCAAAGGACTGGCTTGTGTTGGTCCTTCACAACTCCCTGGTTGGGGTCCTAGAGATGGTGCAACACAGTGGCTAGAGACGTTATCAGATATGGCTCAGAATAGAAGCCAGTGGCGATCTTGCTGTAACCTTCTTTTACTTTCTTCATAAAATTGGTTGTGTCTCCCTTACCTGAAAGATTTCTTCCGATTGTACCTTTCCGTTTCCCTCATTATTATTGTTTTATTACTATTGCACTACTTTACACTAATCTGTTCGTTATTGTTCTTTTTTACGCTCCTTACCTTCTTTTTTTCTCTTCGAATTCTCATTGTTTTGTGTGGCGCATATATATTTGGTGCCTTCTCGTACCAATATTTATATGTTCAAATAAAATAAACAAATAAAAATTGATAATTCCTTCTTATTCCCCTTTTTGTTTTCTTCAACTCGATCTTCTTGGCCTTCTGTTGATATACATTCCACTTCTGAGTGGTGTTACATACTACTTGTCTTGAAAGACATAAGTAGTATACATTATATTAGGACAGTTTATTCAATTTATGTTCAAATTTAATTGTCATTGATGTAATTTGTATTTTAGACTTTCTTTATGGCAATCTGTTGGCTATAAAACATTCAGTGTGTTCCGAGATGAATCAACTATAGCTGAAGTAAATCATTATCCACATCCTAATCATAGGGATCAATTCGAGAATGTACTTGATAATGATAATGACTTCAGAGATGAAATAAGAAATAACATGGCAAGTGAAGAGTTTCCATATGGAACTGATGCTGGAATCTACTATAAAATTGGTGATGCCTCAGAGCCACTTAGTATTTTCTCACTAATGAAAGCTGAAAATAAAATTGATGGTACACCACCATATTTTGTATGTACTACTATTGGTAAGTTTAATGTCTTTTCAGATCACTGATGCTTTCTAATTTCTTAATAATAAATTTAAATCTTATACATGCTATTTGAAGCGATTACAAGTTCACCTAATTTGAGAACGGAACGAGGATTCTGTAACACAATAACTATTCTGACTCATCCCGTCCCGCTTACTAGATAGAGAAATCCAAGTTCGAACGGGGAAATATATCCCGCAAGCAGCCAGAAGCACGAGCAATAATAACAGGCACAAATCAAACGTATATATATAGCAATAAATTGTCCTTGGGAAGCGTTACAAAATAACATACTAAAAGATACAACGAACTAATAGTATTTAAGATCCTCCGAAGTGGAAAATGCAACATAAAGGTGAAAATGAGCGCTTTTGGCGCGAAAACAAGAAATTCAAATTTTCGAAATAAAATTACAAAAAATAAGGTATTTATCAAGTAGGTTCTGGTGATCTAACATCCCCAACATAATACAAAATGAATTTATTTTGGAAAATAATGTGAAAGATAATTTATCTGAAGTGGGCTCATTTGTTTAATTGCTTAGCTTTCATTATCGTTTCGGATAACATGATTGGTGTTTACTCCACCTGGAAGTAAGCTTCTAATATCTCGATGAGAATAATGAATGGTAATTGTTGGAATTTATTTCTGGACAAAAAATGTACATATATATTTATCGTATAATTGTTAAGTAATTCAACTATTGATATTTGTGTCCCTCTTATCATAAGCTTTATTTTGACCCATAGACTAATATTATACGATTTACCATTCATAAGTTATGTCCAATCTATCAATTACTATCTCCTATATTCAAAGCCATATTTGGCTATATCTTGTATAAATGTTTTTTCCTATTTTTATGGTACGATGTGGTCACTCTGGTTGGTATATAAACCCCAGTATGTTTGAAATACATGATCAATATCACAGAGACTGAGATTGGTGTTTTGGATTTAACAGATAGGGCTCGGCGGGAAGCAGGGCCGATAAGGACTGTAGATTGTTTGTACTTGTTTTATGCGTCACTGGTTCGATCGATAAACCACTGCTCTCTAATTGACGGTATCATTACGCTATACATTGATAGAACACAGGGCACAAGTTATAACAAAGCTGTTTAATCATTCCAAACACTCCAAATCAGCCTGTTCTGATGATTTTTTCTATAAATTGTTGGTTGTTTTCGTAGGTTTTTGTTAATTATATTTTTCTTTGTATCTTCATTGACTGACATACTTAGTTCACCCTTTCCTGTGTTATTGATCAGTTTTTTAAATATAGATTGGTTAATAAGGTTTATGTTGATATGTCTGTTGATTGCCGATTGGCTTGAATATCATCAACGATCATATTTTTTTCAAAAAACGTTTACATGACAGACTGAATTACTAGGATTGTTGTTTGTATGTGACCATGGTCGCGACCGTGGCCTCGTAGTGTAGCGGTTAGTACTTTGGAATTTGAATCCAGAGTCCCTCCTCATGAGACCATAAACTTCTGATGTTGATAAAAATAATCGAATGTCAGTAGTCACTTCTTTTTTTCCAATTACTAACAAACTACCAACATCGATGCTAATAAACTAAACCTAAAAAAATTATCCGAAAACGTCTATAGCTCCGAACCATTACTTTATATGTACAACATAAGGTGATAAAGCGCAAAATAACGAGATATCTGAATTGTCTAACTTTTAAGGACCTCTAGAAATGATTTAAACAAGAGAAATAGAGATAGGTCAAGTTTGTTGCCACAAATGAGGATTAGTTGACTGATTCTAATTATTCCAAGCACCTCCAGGTTGCATCTCCTTATTTCTGCAGCAATTCGGAAGACTCTCAGTCATCCACATTATACGAGCATTCCACGTACCTAAATAAATGGTTGCTCTGGTTGTCTGAAGGGGCATCAGCCTCGTGACTTCCGAGGGAACTCGGCTTTCATCATTAGGCGTCATAACTCTTCTAAACGAATACCTTCTAACTCCCAGGGCAGAGTTTAAATGGTCTGAATAAATTTTTTTGGTCAGCGTGTTTTAGTGAGTTAGTTTTCTACGGGATGAGGTCGCTAACCCCATGCTCATCCCTCCTCCTTTATTCGGGCTTGGGACCTGCAGTAGCCCCAGAGGGGTTACGGGCGGAGTTAGAACAAGATCTCTAATTTTGTTAGGTTACTTTTTCGTTGCTTATTTGTTGAACATATCATTCTATGTATAGTAATTTTCCAATTTATACTTTTTTTTTCACAGATAATAGTGGTCATTGGAGTCATGGTGGAATATTTCGAGCTCTTGATAGACGTAGTAATAATAAAATCAAAGATGCATATGAATTAGCTGGTCAAATGGATGATTTAAATTTAGGTGATTGTTTAATTGTTCCAATTGAGAATCCTGACAATTCATCATCTTCATCATCGACAAAAAAAGAAATTAAAGTAAGAAGATTAAATGCATATTCATTTTATTTTTGTCATACTCTGCAGATTGTTCAAAAGCTATGAAACGCTAATTCGCAATTACTAGGCTGGTTTTCATTCAATTCGTGTTGACCATTACTTCAACCTTCACCAAATACTAAATCACCGCCACACTTGTTTCAAGCTAACAATAGTTGTGGTTCATCTGACATCGAGGTTACATTAGATCCATTCAATAAAATTGTGCTCTTAGATTGTTTGTTTAAGAAGAGAATGTCTGAGAAGCCTATTCACATCTTGAAGTTTCTGTGCATAAATAATTCAGGCAGAATAAAGGCATACAACCACCTCTACGTGTAGGATTAGGCAAGATTATCTAATCTCACCATTCCTCTCTAACTCCGCTATTAATAACATTCTCGAAACACCAGTGATGGAAGTAGGTTATACAGAATACATTTTAGTGATAGACTAACTGGTGTTTGTACAATTATGGCGAAGTTTAGTGCAAAGTAGAACTGTGATTTCACCGTTATCACCTACTATCTATACTTGCTACAATGAATTATGCGGATCGATTTGTTAGATTATTGAATATGATACTATTAGAAATCTATACTCTTAGATTCTTGTCTGTTTTCCTCTCATTACCTACATACGCCGCACTCCCATCAAAAAAATTCTGCTACCTAAGTTAGAATATCATACATCTCAAACTACACAGTTATAAGCAAACCTCTAGAGCCATCGAAGTAGTTATATTTATTTATGTATAGATAGATAGATGCGTTCTTTTCAATAAAAATGCAAACTTATCAATTAATGTTTCTCAATTATGAACATAACCAATCTAACAACCTGAATGAGCATACTGTAAATGCTCTTTCGTCCACGTGAAGGTTTCCAAGCTCGTGAATATTTGTGTAGGACCACGTTTGTGCAATGCTGCGTCTCGAAAACATATCTACACATTAATCAGTGATTGTTCACGGGTTTCTAGCACATTCTATCGTTTCCCTAGATCTACCACTAAACTAAAGGTCCTTGCAATTTTTTTTTCTTTCTCCGAAAGTGCAAAACAATCATGGGACAAATATATGGGTCATAAAAAATGAAATGAATAAGAGTTAGCTACGAAGTTGGCATTCTGAAGAATTCCAGGGTCAGCAGTCAGCTACAACATAGGACCAGGCACATATGTGCATCGGTCTAAGTTGCCATACCTCATTAGTACAACAAGATGAACACCGGATTCATAGAATTAGTTAGTCCAATAGTGGTAATATATGAAAGAAAGATTGCATATAAGGATATAGTACAGGAAGAAAGATATAAGACGATTTCAGTCCCATAGTTTAAAGGAAGATAGGGAGTGTATACACCGACACCATTGTGGTCGATTCTGAGCCATATCACTAAGTCTCCAAGCATTGGTTACGATAGTCACGCGGACCCCAACCAAGTAGTCTGCATCTACCAACAGGACTCAGACTAAAAGTTAGTGTCTTCAAACACTGATGCCACGTTTTGGTTTGACCGCCCCTAACTTCCTTCGAACCGTCTCCAACATCGGTTAGCATTACACGTCGTGGTAATCGGTGTTCAGACATACACAACACGTGGCTCAATCATTTCAGTCGATGAAGATTCAAAACCTCATCAACTGACTTAACATCATCATTCCCTAATATCCTACGTTTAACCTCACTATTACTTACCCGGTGATCCCAGCAGACGCCAGCAATATTTCTAATGCATCTGTGGTCAAATACTAGTAGCTTACGAGTGTCTTCTACTATTGATGGCCATGTTTCTCAGCCGTAAACTAGATTTTTGTAACCTTTAATTTGTGTATTTATTGAATCTTACTATGGTTAGGCAGACCAACTCTCTGTCGATAATACAGTGTTAGTCTAATTTAATCGTCTAATTTTCTCTAATCTTGTTTATTTTCATTACATAACACATTTGTAGACTTTTAATGACTATTTAACCAACCATCATAACAATAATGATAATAGTGATGATGATGATGATAGCACTAAACCGACTGTCCATAATCATTGGTCAAATAATTTTTCTGGCCTTTTAATTGCTCAAAAACATTCCAGTAAAACATATTCAACTGGTGAAGCTCCAGATTTACAACTAAATGCATTAGAAAAAAGTTTATGTGCTCTTGGAATGGCTTGTGCTCGTTTGAAATTGTGTAAGTCATAATAAAGGATTGAATTTGTAGATTATTAACCATTTTATTTCGTGTCCAGATAATAAGAGCTAAGTTTTTTTTAAAAATATTTTATCACCAAAATGTTATAATATAACACTATTTTTAGCAAAGATGTATGATGACTAGCAGTGAAATCTGGGAATCGCGTTTCGTTCTCATTGAAACTAGTCAACTGGATGTACTTTCATCTCAGATTTGATGTTCACTCCGGGACTCAAACTCAGTAACGTTCGCTTCAAACGTCATCATTTTATCCACATAGCTACTGTGTCCTGATAGAAACTAGCTTGTGCAATGTGGTGAAGTTTTAATTCATTTTTATATTGTTTGTTTGAATCTTCCTATTGATATTTAGGACTTCAGTTAATCAGTCTGCTATTGGTATATACATCCTGTGCAGATTGCCACGATATTGCCCTAAGTCACAAACATTATAAGCAGCTGACAGATCTCACATATGACGATATGAGTGTCCTGTGCTGATTGCCTTGATAATAGCCATTATTTCCCAAGTTTATATAGAATAAACGGAATGTGGCGAGTCCCAATCAGGGCGAAAAACGCTTACTAGACTCCACTTCCATCCATATTCCATCTATTCTATGTAAACTGGTGGATAATGTTTTTCCAATAATTAGAGTAATACATCATGTGATTTGTCAGCATTTATCGTTCCTTTTGAACAAATGAACTAGCGTTACAGGTTCGAGCCACTGCAGCTTATGCAATATGTAGGAGACCAGTTCGAATCTAATTGGAAAACGATGAAGATATACAACAGATCATTCTAAATGACCACCGTAAACCAGGTTTGCCCAAGATAGAGCTTTCTAATGAGTGAACATCTCCCTGAGTGACTTAGAAAGGGCCTGACGAAAACGAGACTTGACTCTATCTTAGCACATCTGATTAACAATGGTCATATAGTTGGCAAAACCAAATCATTTCGAGTGATCTACCATATACTCATTTTGTTTCCCAATAACATTTAATCTCATCTCTAACTCATCATTCTTTATTTTAAGCTTTCTAACTCGTATCAGAAGAGGGTTTTGTGAATATTATAGTAACTTCAATAGTTGAGATCATGAGTCGATTGAATCCGGTGTTCATCTTGTTGTGCTAATGAGATATAGCATTTGTAGCTGGCTGACTGACTGTACTTAAAAATACATTAAATATCAATGACACATTTAATAATATTTTAGATTTTCTATTTGTCTAATTTTTTTTTCATTTTGCAGGCTCTGTTCATATTCCTCGATTAGGACATGGAACTCAAGCATTTACATGGTATAAAATTGAAAGACTATTAAGAAAACATCTTGTTGATCATCATCATATTTCAGTATATGTGTATCCTTTTTCTTTGTTATTGTAATTATTTGAATTGAATTTTTATTGATTTATTTAAACACATAAACATTGGTACAAAGGAACAACAAAGTGCATGAGTGCCACACAATACGTCATCCGATTTGTGTATGAGGGCTGAAATATTGACAGGGCTCTCAAACCGAAGCAAGTGATTTTCTTAGAGGGCCACACTCAGAGCCATTGACCTAAAGGTCTCATCCATAAGGCAGTGGAGCAATGTTAGATGATGTAGTCTTATGATAGCTGGTGATCAACAATAGGTTAATACTCCATTTGTTCCTTCAGAATTCTGGAGCGTATGTGCACCATCGGTTTTGAATGAGGATTTTCTAACTCTTCTAAATGGATCCTCCATATCCACCAACCCGTCTAAAGCGTCGAACATTCACTTTCCATCTTCTCAATTTCGTAAACAACAGTAATGCCGTGAGAAGACAGTGAGTAGGACTTCCCTGACAGTGGTAGTATGCACGTGTCCATATGAGAGGATTTTGAGAGGGAGAGCTGACTCTCCCCACTCTCGGCCATACTAGGGCATTTGGGAGGTATAACGGAGTTAAGTATATATAGACTAATGATAACTGTAAGCGATCCCACTATCAATTTGCTTTGATACAGTCACTTAGTAACACAACAAAATCGATTAATTCGTTAGAAACATTCTATCAATAACTGGTCAGATTAATTCCCTAAATTATATGTTGTAATCTATATTTCTTAACTAGTTTTATATACTATCTATATATACAAATATATAATTGAAGATATTATTATCGTCCAGTTAATGCAGATAATCATCATTCATCTGATTCCTGTACAACATCTACTGCTTCATGTTCGTCTACATCAACTAAAGGTTAATATATTTCATCATTTTAACTGTTTTATAGTTGATTATTACATGAACATTTTACATTTTTAGATACAATGAAAAATAATAAATTAGTGGAGGTTCATGTTTAATGAGTTAAGGAATAAGGTCATTTCTAGCATGATATGACAATATTACTTACTTACTCCCAATGTGGTGTGAGCTACTTATATTGACATAAGTAGTATATAACGTGCGTTAAAAGAACGTAATGCTCGGCAGCAAAAGATGGCGAAGACCAAGAAAGGTGGAGCAAGAACATAATGGAATTTGTAAGAAAACTTATGAACAATGGAATGGGAGACAATGGATTAGTGTTTGCAGCTTGAACAGTACAGTTTGATATGATGTATTGATAATTTGCAAATTGACGATTGACTTTATGGTATTCAGATTTTGTTGAGATAGTCTGTAAGTTTCGTGCTAAATACATTCGATTGTCCCCACCCGTGTTCTTGTTCACTACATTTGGTGTCGCTGCCAACCGGGAGAGGAGGAGGGTGCTGTTCTGCGGAAGCCGTTGCGGGCCTGGGGCTGAGGTGCCAGTTGGGGCAGTCTGGTGCGGAGAGGCGGCGTCTGGTGGAGTGTTCTGGCGGGGCGGCGTTGGCTGTAGTGGATGCTGTCGGCGGAGAGGAGCGGTGGGACGCGCGGCTGCTGGGCGGACATCGAATGTAGATGGCTCAGCAGGCCGGTGGAGTACGGGTGTCAAGCGTCCCAGGTGCCGGGTGGATGTCGGTTGTTGTTTTCCCGGCAAGTCGACGGAGCTACGGAAGTCAGCGCGCCGCAGACTCGACATTTTGACGGAGAGCGTGGCACAGGCTGCAGAGACGGAGAATGTTGCACGGCGAACACGAACCACCACAAGAACGACTGCTTTAAAGTGGGGGACGAGTGTGGTGTGAGCTACTTATATTGACATAAGTAGTATATAACGTGCGTTAAAAGAACGTAATGCTCGGCAGCAAAAGATGGCGAAGACCAAGAAAGGTGGAGCAAGAACATAATGGAATTTGTAAGAAAACTTATGAACAATGGAATGGGAGACAATGGATTAGTGTTTGCAGCTTGAACAGTACAGTTTGATATGATGTATTGATAATTTGCAAATTGACGATTGACTTTATGGTATTCAGATTTTGTTGAGATAGTCTGTAAGTTTCGTGCTAAATACATTCGATTGTCCCCACCCGTGTTCTTGTTCACTACACCAATGGAGCATAGGCTACCGACCAACATTCTCTAATCCGCTCTGTCCTGGGCCTTCCTTTCTAGTTCTATCCAATTGTTGTTCATTTTTCTCATATCTTCATTTCTCGGCGTAATGTATTCTTTAGTCTTCCTCTTCTCCTTTGGACTTGAGGATTCTATGTGATGGCTTTCATTGTGACGCAGTTGGGCGCTTTCTTCAATGTGTGTCCTATCCACTTCTATCGCTTCTTCCTGATCTCTTCCTTCACTGGAATCTGGTTTGTTCTCTCCCAAAGGAGGTTTTCGCTGATAGTGTCTGGTCAACAGATCCGAAGTATTTTGCGTAGACAGCTGTTAATAAACACTTGTATCTTGTGGATGATTGCTTTCGTAGTTGTCCAGGTCTCCGCCCCATACTGTAGAACTGTCTTGAGATTTGTATTAAAAATTCTGACCTTGGTGTTGGTTGACAGTTGTTTTGAGTTCCAGATGTTCCTCAGTTGTAAATATGCTGGTCTTGCTTTGCTGATCCGTTCCTTCACACCTGCATCATGTCAAAAACTTGTTGATAATTATTTACTCATCAGAAAGAGTTACAACTTACTTGGATTATTAACTGAACAATGATAGTTTCTGAAAATCAAACTAGTTCAAGATACAGGTGGAAGGTTATCAAAAACACATCTTATTTACTTACAACTGCCACCCCTCGTGGTGGAGCATAGGGCGGCCCACCAGCATTCTCTATCGAACTTTGTCTTGGGCAATCCTTTCCAGTTGCTATTCATCCCGACGTATTGTGTTCTATGGTCTTCTTTTTTTCCATTTCCCTTCAGGATTCCAAGTAAGCGCTTACCTGATAATACAGTTTGATGATTTCCACAACGTATGTTCTATCCACCCCGATTGTGTTTTACCAATTTTCTCTTCAACTGAAAACTGGTTTGTTCTCTTCCATAGTAGGTTGTTGCTGATGGTATACGACGAAGCGATATTGAGTATCTTAAGTAGATAACTGTTTACAAATGCTTGTACCTTTTTGATGATGGTTGTAGTGGTTCTCTTAGTTTCAGCTCCGTACATTAGTACTGTCTTGACGTTCGTATTGAAGATTGTAACTTTGATGTAGGTTGACAGTTGTTTTGAGTTCCATATGTTCTTCAACTATAGGAATGCTGTTGTTGCTTTGCCAATCCTTGCCTTTATATCTGTATCAGATCTTCCACGTTCATCGATGATGCCTCTCAGATACATGGAACTTTCCACCTTTTCCAGAGTTTCTCCATCAAGTGAGATTGGGTTGGTAATTGTTCTACTTTCTTATCAGTGATAACTTAGAATCTCCATTGTTACTATATTGATTTTAATTGGACAGTAGATTTTTTCTTTCCACTTTTCATATTACTAATTATAAACTGGTTATTATTATTTGCTGTGTATTTTATTTATTATTTATTTTGAAATAGAACCTTTTAAGTCTCTGAAACGAAAAATCTCCTCTTCAGAAAACAAAATTAATTTTAATCAAAATCTGGGTTAGTCAAATTGTTTTCTTTATTGTATAATACTTGATAATCTCCACAACCCTATACTGATAATTACCATGTACTCACTAGTGACTAACTTCGTGAGGCGATTCTCGGAGTTTTAGTGAGAAGCTGTGACCAGTGGAGCCAATTTTTGTCGGGTAGAGACATGTATCTACCCCTGTACAATGGAAGATGGTCGCTCAACTTCGTGGATTGGTTGAAGTTAGACATTAACACCATTGGATGCCGGCTCATTGGTCTAGAGGTTAAGCGTTCGCACGCAAGACTGAAGGGCCTATGTTTGAATCCCGTGAGCGGGATCGTGGATGCGCTTTGGTGATGAGTCCCCATACTAGGACGAAACGGCCATCCAGTGCTTCCAGGTTTTCAATGCTGGTCTAACATCAATCGGTTCATGATCTCAATAAAAAACTTAATGATTTCCACAACCCTATACTGATAAGAGTTTTCTTATCTGAATGTACAATATATGATCTTATTGTTGTTGCTTAAAAATTTATATTTAACTGTGAATACACTTCTGCTTCAAGTCAGGTAACTAACTAACATTAATGATATTGCAATGTTTGTCATTTGTTCTTTAGCTTATTAAACGTTTCATTCCAATAATTTTAAAATCTAACCGTTCTTCACTACTATCCTACTTATGTAGATGTTCTGATAATCTTATTTATAACTAGTTATCCTCGTAGGCTTCCTTAACTTCATATGTCTTTGCATTGTTTGTTCAGTTAACCTCAGATCATGGGATCGATTGAGGTTTCTTATTCACATCAATAAACTAGACATAATGTTTACAGATCCGTGTTCTCAGTTGATTGTATGCATTGATGTAAGCATTCAATCATAGACATCTTGGAACCATTTGTTGTATATTTTGGTACCATCACGTTAACAGTTTTGAGGTTAGATGCAGAGTACCAAGTAAATATACAAAGTCAATTATCGAGTGGCCAAATCTTTATCGATTGATTTGGTTGGGACATGCAATTAATATCTTCATCCATCGATTGTCTTGATACACAACAAAGACTAGGGTAAGAACAGATTGCAAGAAATCTAGGAGCGTCCAAACCAATACATAGCATCATTTAACAAAGTCACTGACTATTAGAGTTAGCCACTTAGATTGGTGCAGAACACCTGTTTGGGGTCCATGTAATTATCTCAACCTCTGCTTCGAGACTATGACAAGGCTCAAAATCATTCGCAATGGCCTAGGTGCATTCATTTTTTGTTTTTGCATAAATCCTATATTTCTAAATTCTTTTTTATATCACCAGTTTATATTTTCTTCTCTAATTATTTCTTAAATACCTAATCTTTCCTATTACCACTAATACTGTTACTACATCTACTACTACTCTAGTGTTTGTTTTGACTTCATCTTACTATCCCAGTGTATTGTGACAAATTGAACTGATATACTCATAAACCGACCGATATCCTCATCCTTTTATTGTTTTTCTTTGCATGTTAACTCGACAATTACAAGTCTGTTCATATAATTTTATTCTGTTTTAATCAATCTGTAAATTATGGCGAGACTATAATTTATGGACAAATCAATCGCGTATAAGATCGCAGGTCTCAGATTTTGGTGCGAAATTCACTCATCCATTTGGCTAAATAGTTTTGGCATTATAGCTGATGTCGATTCGTGATGAAAACTCGTAACTCTAATTCCTAACCTTAATCATCAACTGCAGATCATAATTCTAATTCCTCATACAGGTTTAAAACTCTCATTTAGTACCGGTTATTAGGTTGACACTCTCATGGTCAGTCTAGCGTCACTCAAAAGTCGTCCATAAATTATAGTCTCACCACAAACAGTTCAAAGGCGTCCTCATTTTCTTAATCAACACAACAGCGTCCTCAAAACAACAACCTCTACACCTTCTGGTTAGCAGCGACACTAAATATACTAAACAAGAACACCAGTGAGAACAAGCGAATGTATTTCAATACAACATTACAGAATCTCTTAGTAAAATCTGAGAACCATACAGTATATACTTCATTTGTAAAGTGTCAACCAATTGTCTTTGACTTGACTTTTTTTCATCGTTTCCACACCAATCATTCTCTGTTCTCTTCTCTTCAATCTTCTCAACCTTCGACCACCATTCATCTCACTTTCGATTAGTGCCATATACTACTTATATCTGTCGAAATCAGTAGCATACACCATAATAGTAGTGAATCTAGTGGATTTTTTTTTATAAAATAATTTGTTCATCTAGATACACATTTATATGACTTGATCATTGTTTATTTTATTTTACAGAAACTATGCAACCAGCCAAATATTTGTATAATTTATTTACAGGCAAATCATTCTATATTGACAGTTCTCTAGTTGATGGCAATGATGGTGATGATGATGATGATGTGAAGAAATTAAAACGAATAATTATTGCATATCCTTTTTATTTGTTCATTAGATTGTAAACAAAATAATAAGTATGAATTAACTTTAAGAGAAGACTAAAATGATGCTCTTTTTCTTGTAATATAATGTTTCGGTCACGAACTGATATTTACTAGGTCATTAATGAGAACCTGGAAACTATAGATGGTTGTTTCGTCTTAGTATAACATTCCTTGATAAACAGCCTTCACGACCCCTTACATCCGAAAATCAAACCCAGTGGGATTCAACTATCTCGAATGTGAGACAATTATCCACTATATGTAATGGATGAGAGGGTGATACAACATCGTGAATTGATTGACGTTAGACATTTACACAGTTAGATGCCAGCTCAATAGATCCAATTTCTTAGGGGAGTTGTCCCAACTGTTGTTGCTACCTTGACGTGGTGGTCGAGCTTACCTATCGTGATGAACCAATCGAGCTACACTGGTTGGAACAATCATCCCGCAAGGTCCTACCATGCTAAACAAGTCGGTTGAAGAGCGGTAAGACTAAAGGCAACAAACCCAAGGTCAGAAGGTGAAGTCGTGCTGCTGACTGTACAGAGGTGTGACAGCAGTAAGGTGTTTCCATCAGACAACCAGCATGACAGCGATGCTGCCTTCCCACAACGAGGAGTGGGGTTAGAAAAGGTCGACCCTAAAAATGCACACTTCGCCTTATCCCACAGATATCCGTCTCCGGCAGTAAGGTCTCAACAAGTACGGAGCTCATACGAAAGTTACTCGCAAAAAGTAAGTGTGTGACCGACCTCAAGTAGTTGTCCCTTGGGCCCTGTGGTCACGCTCTCAGGTCACTAAGACCACCCCTAACCCAATTTCTTTTTCAGATACCTTCCCATGGTATGGGCAACCGGAAAGTGATAACCGCCCTCATATCTCTAACAGCACTCATGACCACTGTATTCATCATCAACCTCTCTGAGGGGGTTGTAGATGTGCACTGCTTAGGTGCTTCATACTGAGACGAAACAGCTCTCCTGTGTTTTCTGATTCTCAATGACGGTCTAAATTAAGTCATTTCACGATTTAAATCTTAAAACTTATACAAATTCCTTAATACTAATATTTTTTTAAACAGATGTATAATTATGGTGGAAAACAGTTACTTATTCACTTAACTAAGCTGTTAACCCACACTCTATTCATAAATTCTAGTAATACTGTCTACCTCTGTGAATTTCTTTAGATGATATCGGATTCAGTTAAAACTACTGAATTATAGTTCTCATCTAGTCTAAGGTAAAATGCTTATACAATTCAACTGTCATCTTTTCGTGAAAATTCTTGATTGTAGTTAGCAGTGAAGTTTAGGACGCCTTTTAAGCGATAAGCACTGATTTCCAGTTACAATATAAACACCAGGTACATTCAACTCATGAGTCTCAGTTAAGATGAAATGCACCTTGTAAATTAATTGTATTCACAATTCAAAAGCACAATTAAACTTGTAACTGTAGTTAGTATCGAATTAATGACTGAGTATCTGCTTGTTCCAACAAAGAGTATTTGAAATTCATTACATAACACCAGTGATGTTAGAAAATAAACCATAGTTTGTGTTTAAACCGGAAAATTTTAACATTTCATAATCACTCAGCTGACGAATCCTAAATAGGACGTAACGCGCATCCTGGATTGCACTACTAGTCACTATCTATCTTTGACTGATCAAATATTAGCCTCTTTTTTTAAATGAACAAGTGATATAATGTCATTCTACTTTTTAACGATGAATATAGCTTCCATCTTCCCTTAACTCAATATTGTTATTGATTAATCTAGTTTACTTATGATGGTGTTATAGTATCCAACCTAGACTCATCTGTTACGCATATTATTTACACAGGTAAATTAAATCAGAGGATGAAACCGATCGATAAAGAGGTAAGTGCTTTTTATACCACAAATACATTCGATTGTTAACCGAAAGGTTAGTGGTTCAAGCCCATCCGGGGGTGGTAGGCACTTTGCCCCCAAATGCCCTGGTACAGCCAAGACTCGAGAGAGTCCCCTCTCTATCCCTCTCCAAATGCTCTCACATGACCACGCGTATATAGTTTCTGCCAGGGAAGTCCTACACGCTATCTTCTCGCGGCATTACTGATGTTTACGAAATTGAGAGGACGAAAAGCAAATGTCCAGAGATTTAACCGAGTTGGTGGACACGGAGAGTCCACCTGGGGGAGTTGGAAAACCCTCATCCTAAACAATGATGCATTTTGGCTCCAGTATCCTAGAGCAGCAAATGGCCTACGAACCAATCGTTGGTCAATAGCTACCATGGGAGTGCATCTCCTCACGTTGCTCCACTACTTTGTGAATTAGACCTTTAGGTGAAAAGCTCCGAATGGCCCGTTAAGAAAACCACCTGTTTCGGTTTGGGCACCCAGGCAACACCCAAGCCCTCACATAAATCGAATGATTTATGTGGTGCATATCTATTTAGTGCCTCCTTGTACCAATATTTATGTGTTTGGATGAATAAATAAATGAATTCATAACCGGGAATTTAACATGGATAGTCTGTCTAATCGATACATCAACTTCATAATTAAGGTTACTAGTTATGGTTAACCATCAGACATATGGTCGCTTGGGCTGTCTGATCTTTTGTATAATTTACTGATTATTGATAAACTGAATTCGGGAGTCATTTACCCATATAATTTTCTAGCAAAACATCTAAAATTAAGTGAGATATGTATAAACATCATCCAACGTTGTCGACTTTGACTAAAAGTTGAAAAAGACACATTGTATAGAATAAAATAGTCCTACTTAATTCCTCGGTTCCCTTAAAAGTCCTCACTGGTGATGAACAATTGTTCTGACAATACGATATCTCATCTGAATTCTGGAAACTACGAGGGATGTTTATAACGAGACTAGAGGTAAAATGTTTTGCCATGAATAAAGAGTACATTGAAAAGAAATACGGTCTACACTCACATACACATCAAATTTTGTAATATAAATCCTTCTAGATTTCAATCCACATTATTTACCAAACAGGTTACGTCTAATGTACTTAAACTTACTCAAAATTGATTACCTCAAGTGGTGTTCGTCAGGGCTATCCACTCTTTCCATTCTTGTTTAACTTTATTGTAGACGTGCTTTTAGAGATAACACTTTCCTCATCTGAATTTCCAGGGATTGAATTTCTACCAGGAGATCCACTTGTTGACTTAGAATATGCTGATGACATAGATTTATCTGGCGAAGACGCTGACAAAATGCAGAGTCTTCTGACCTTTCTAAGCAACAATGCAAGTATGTTCGGGATGAGATTCTCCCCCTCGAAATGCAAAATGTTGCTTCAGGATTGGGTTACATCGACACCCGAACTAGTGATAGGGAGTGAAGTAGTTGAGTGTGTCGACCGCTTCACTTATCTTGGAAGTCTCATCAGCCCTTGTGGTCTGGTGTGTGACGAAATCTCAGCACGGATACAGAAGGCTCGACTAGCTTTTGCCAACTTGCGTCATTTATGGCGTAGGCGAAATATCAGTCTATCAACCAAAGGACGTGTTTACTGTGCAGCAGTTCGTCCCGTCCTACTTTATGGCAGTGAAACATGGCCGGTAAGAGTAGAGGATATCCGTAGGTTACTAGTATTTGATCATAGGTATCTTCGAAATATTGCTCATATATCCTGGGACCATCGAGTAAGTAATGCAGTTGTTAGGAAACGGGTACTAGGTAAGGATGGCAAATCAATTGATGAAGTGGTGAAACTTCATCAGCTGAGATGGCTGGGACGTGTTACGTATGCCCAACCACCGACTGCCTCGACGTGCTATATTCAGTGGTATAGGAGTAGGTTGGAAGAAAGCTAGGGGCGGTCAGACCAAAACATGGCACAAGTCCATGAAGTCACTGACAAGTGGACTGAGTCATATTGGTAGGTATAGACTACCTGGTTGGGGACCGCGAGATGATAGAAACCGATGGTTAGAGACCCTGAATGACATGGCTCAAAATGGTTTGCAATGGCGCAGGTGCATCCACTCTTTGTGTTTTTCCAGATTCTAATCTTTTGAATTCTTCATGTCCCTTTCTTTCTTCTCTTTCCAAATTTATTTCACTGGATTATACTCCTTGATAACATCTTCAATCCCTGGTCTTTCCGACTACTGCTTATACTCTTACTACCTCGACAACTGCATCTCTGTGCAAATGTGGTATGGCAACTCGAACTGATGTACGTACGTACGAAGTTCTACGTTGTTACTGACTGACTTAGACTCATTTTATATATGAGTAAATAACGTGTTTGATTTAAAGACATATTGATAGTTTACTTAAAAGCATCATATTTAAATGACCAAATTTTTTTAATTGTATATCTGTTAATTCGCATCATTCTATAAATCTAGAGCCCATATGATTAACATTTATTAAATTGTTGTTTAATTCTTTACTTTCAAGAATTGTTTCCAATTATCTGCATCATGGATTTGGCAAAGTATAAAAAAGCGTATCTGTCTACCAGAATCTGACTATAATATAATGTAATATTTTATGCCTTTCTTTTCTTTTCTTTTTTTTTTAAGATTGTAAACATTATTTTTTCTAGAAGCATATCCCTTTCCTTTTAAGATTTCTATTAATACTGTATATTGACTATTTGTATACAACAATAAAGTGATATATTGAATGAATTCAATTATCTTCATTAAAAATATACATATACTTGGTAATGAATGAACAAGATGAAGAGAATATGCTCCCATCTTAACACTAGCTAAATCCAAGAACCTATTCTGATTTGTTAAGATTGAACCAGTCAGAAATTGACCAAATGATAAATGCGCGTGATTGCGCCTCCCCCAATGCCCTAGTACGGCCGAGAATGGGGAGCTTCCACTCTCTCTCGAAATGCTCTCACATGGCCACATGCATACAGCCACTGTCAGGGAAGTCCTACACACTACCTTTTCGCGGCATTACTGTTGTTTACGAAATCAAGAGGACGAAAAGCAAATGTCCGATGCTTTAAACGGGTTGGTGGACACGAAGAGTCTACCTAGGGGAGTAGGGAAACCTTGATTTCAAACCAATAGTGCACATGGGCTACAGTATCCTGAAGGAACAAATGGCGCACGAACCAATCGTTGGTCACCGACTACCATGGGGCTGTATCTCCTGATGTTGCTCCACTGTCTCGTGGATTAGACCTTTAGTTCGAAAGCCCCCTAAGATAACCACCCGCCCTGGTTTTGGGCACCCGGACAGTATCCGAGGCCTCACAGAAATCGATTGATTTATTTGGTGCCTCCTTGTGCCAACGTTTGTGTGTTTAAATAAGTGCGCAATTGGCCTATAAACAAGTTTCATTTCGAAGTGAAACATACATCAGTAGCCTAAATTTTTAAGGATATATATATGAGTGCATATGCAGTCGATTCGCTTCGTCAATAAGCTACTTTTCTCATTGTCTTTTAATTCGAGCAGTCAGTTGAGACCATTCTTAGGAAGACTGTGTATCAGTATCACACTCAAACATCGCACGCTACAAAAGTGCTAAGTTTGTGTTTTATAGTTGCTAACATTCATTGAAAATCTATATGAGGTCATTAGGCGGCAAACCATGTATTATCAAATAATTATGCAATTAAAGTTCTAGATAAGTTAACTGGCTCAATTACAACCAACAAGTTGTTTCTTGTTTTCTAAATGCATCACATGAAGCTTCGGATCTTCAAATAAATTTTCATTTACTAAGAATCGACATGATCTCTTCTTACTTGCCTCGCCTATCAGTTTCAGTTCACCATGATATCTGATCGCTTATCTTAGTAGTCGAAATCTAGACATGCAGTCGCTAAAAGCGAGGACTGATTATTCTACATCCCAGAGAAATAGTGATAGGTAAGTGTTTGAGGCGCTCGACTTCTAGTTGCAGGTCTCTAGATTCGAAGCCCGCTTCGTAAACTTCAGTTCGTGCATTTGGCTAATGCATACATGTATCCCAGGTAATCTAATGCTAATCTGCGTCATTAGGTTGCCCAAAATATATATGGCATCCTGTAAGCTACAAGATTTTTCGTTTTCTGATCCGTCAATTGTTAATTACTTAAATAGGTGACAAATTATCTTCCTGCACAACAAACATTGAGGGTCCTGTCAACATAATGATTAGGTATCGTATTTAAGTTTTCACGCTTGGAACGGCGTTTATTTATTTAAACGCAAACATTGGTAAAATGTGGCACCAAATATATATGCGCTATATAAATCATTCGATTTGTGTGAGCTGGAATACTGCCCAGGTGCTCAAACCGAAGTAGATCATATCTGCAAATCTATGATGCATTTGCCATAATCCATAAGTTAAATGCTTATTTAAAAGAAATGAACACATAAAACAACAACCAAAAGAGGAATAGTTAGCCATGCCCATCATATATTGGGTACTTCACTACATCCGAATTATACTATAGCAATATAGTCTAGGAATGATATTACCAAAAGCTCTTCAATAACTTTCACAATGTAAATAATTATGATATTATAGTTTATGACTTAATTAATTATTTATTTCAACACATAGATATTGGTATAAGGGGGCACCAAATACATATGCACCACACAAATCACATTTGATTTGTGTGAGGGCTATGATAATGCCCAAGTGCCCAAACCGAAGCAGGTGGTTTTCTTAGGGAACCACACCCGGAGCCTTTTACCTAAAGGCCTAATTCACAAGGCAGTAGAACAATGCAAGGAAATGCAGTCCCATGATAGTTGGTGACTAACGATTGGTTCACGCGCCATTTGTTCCTTCAGGATACTGGAGCCCATGTGCACTATTGGTTTGGAATTAAGGTTTTCCAACTCCCCCAGGTGGACTCTCCGTGTCCACCAACCTGGTTAAAGCATCGGACATTTGCTTTTCGTCCTCTCGATTTCGTAAACATCAGTAATGCCGCGAGAAGGTAGTGTGTAGGACTTCCCTGGCAGAGGCTATATACGCGTGGCCATGTGAGAGCATTTCTAGAGGGAGAGCGGACTCTCTCCACTCTCGGCCGTACCAGGGTATTTGAGGGCCATGACTTTATACATCTTAAACGATAGTAAGTAGAGATACAATCTATATTTTTTTCTAGAGAAATCTACTACATACTCTGACTATTGTTATCAAATGATATAAATAATGTTTTACAGAAACATATTGTAAAAACGCCCCCAAATGCCCTGGTACGGCCGAGAGTGAGGAGAGTCCACTCTCCCTCTAGAAATGCTCTCACATGGCCACGCGTATATAGCCTCTGCCAGGGAAGTCCTACTTACTGCCTTCTCGCACCACGGGTGTTGTTTACGAAAAGCGAATGTCCAGCGCTTTAACCGGATCCCAAACCACAGGTGCTCCAGCATCCTGAGGGAACAAATGGCGTATGAACCAATCATTGGTCACCGGCTACTATGGGACTGTATCTCCTTATGATGCTCCACTGCCTTGTGGATCAAACCTTTATATCAAAAGCTCGTGGTGTGGTTCCCTGAGAAAATCACCTACTTCGTTTTGGGCACCCGAACAGTATCACAGCCCTCACACATATCGAATGAGATTTGTGTGGTGCATATGTATTTAGTGCCCCCTTATACCAATATCTATGTGTTAAAATAAATAAATAATCAATATTGTAATTTATAACACCAGAATGAACGAAATGTAATCGAACTTTAAACTGAACACATTTACATTTGTAACACCTATATCATAATCATATAGAATGAATAGATTTCAAGAATATATTCTACACTTATTAACATTATTATATAATATATAAATAATATCTTAATAAATATACAAGATAATTACAAAATTTAAACAAAACGAACGAACAGTACAATGTTAAAATTGTGTATATTGATTTAGTGTATATCGAAGTAAATTATTTTCATGTTTTATTTGATTAATAATATTATGAAACTCTTTACACATTTGATCAAGTTTACATTCTAATTTAGTAAATTTAAATAATAATTCATTATGTGACCAATTCAATTCAGACATCATAGATTGTAGTTTAACATTGAAATATTGTTCTAACCATTCATTTGTTATATTAACTGAATTGAGATTTACAACATCTTTATTATGATGATAATCTGATTTTAATTGTTGATTAATATTGACAACATTAACATCTATATTAGATTCTGGTCTTAATGATACCATTTTCTCTATATTATCGATATTCACTTCTGACCAACTAGATTTTATAGAACCTTGATCAGATGATGGAAACATACTGGAATTTGAATGTAATGAAATATCTGGTACGGAAAATTCACGAAATAATGATACCCATGTATCAGGTTGACATTTAGGTATAACATTAGTTATTTCATGAAGTGGTTGTTTTGATAAACTTAGTAGTGTGTCTGTAACGGTACTCTGTACTGAAGTTGAATTTCCATACAATTTCGCATCAAGGTTCTCGTCCTGTAAACTTTCAAGCTTATTGGATTTTGGGGAGCTAAACTTAACTTCGTCACTAGTTCGATAAGCAAAAGAGAATGAAAGCAAGCTTATTGGAACATCCGATCCTGAGGAAACACAACGGATAGGTGAAGTAAAATCAAGTATATTATAAAACCAAATATTACCATTTGCTAAACCAGTTGCAAGAATGCTTGTGTCCAAGGTGACATCAACACTTAAATATCCATGTTGTTCATCAATCGGTGACAACGTCTTGATTGGTATTAATTTCAATATAGACGCATCCCACATACGTAAATTCATATCCGGTGCTCCTGCAGTAAAAAGTCGTCGACCAGTTGACAAAGCTATATCCATGCAGTATTCACAGTTATTCGTGTTTATCGAAGTGGGTAGAAAAGACGTAGGATCCCAGCGACAAAAAATTAACTCCTGTGTATGCCTAACAATAGGCCAGTCTAAACGCCAGAAAATAATAGATCCATCAGAATAACCACAACATAATAAATCACTGCTTTCTGTGTAAGTTCTAAAAATATTACATGCAGGTGTAGAAGGACTGTTGTTATTGGCATATGAAGGAAATGGTAATATGAAATGCTCACATTCACCTGTAGACGTACCAGACGCAGCTAAAAATAAGACAATATATCCATTACTATACCCAGCAACAACAACACGGTCCTTTAAAACCCAGCTGACACACCTAGGCTGCACTTCATTGGAAGATAAACTTTCACAATTATTACTGAAGCGTAACTGCGAATAAAAAGAAATTTGTTTTTGACATTTGTATAAATTTATTGGGCCAGCACTAGTCCCAACAGCTAGATATCTTCCTGATCTTTGCGGAAAAGCTATGCAAGTTGCTGTGAAACTATGTGATAGCAAACTGAAAGTAGTTATATCTGATGCGTTTTGATCATATACATGATTTTTGCCAGTATACAGACGTCGAAAGAAAATAGTAGAACCAGAATTGTCAATAACAGCTAGCTTACAAGACCGAGGTTCCCACTGAATCGACCGTAGCGAACACGATACTGTCATTTGAGGCTTGTAAGTCAAGGAAGGAGAATCAGGGATCTCCAAGTTACGGTAGTCTGAATTTGACGATCCAAATATATTCTTATCATACCGTATGGACCAAAAATGGACTGAAGAGTTTTGTACAGCAGCAAGATACATGCATTGGTCCATAAAAAAAGAATCCCTATAGGTAGAATAATAGTTCGATTAAAATGATTAGCTGAATAAGTGTCAAACTACAGAAAAATGCAAAATTACTCGTTTTCTGGATTATTAAACTATCAACTGACAATTGAATTGAATTTAAATTAAACCTAATACTATGGGAAGGTATATTTGAGAAGAAAACAACATTCATATTTTTATCAACGAAAGTAGTCTGTTTTCACACTATAAACTTATATTGCAGATTTTTAAATCAATTTGCCCCAAACTAGTGTATGACCCAATCTTCCTATTTTGTAGATTTTCCCAGTCATGTCAATTCGTAGTTTTTTTTTTCTAAATTCTGGGGAAATACTAGAAAAAACTCAAAATTTCCTCAAACGATTAAGAGATTTCCACGAATAACTTGAAACTTTTAGAAAAAAATACCCTGACCAGAAAGACTTTTGAGGCTTTGTGTCGCATTTCCCCAAGATTTTCTGTTGTGAATCCGCCGAAATTCCCTCCAAACTAATAAAATTTTCTACAAAATAGGGTGATTGGGGACAGCTAGCTCTAATGTAATAATATATAATGTTGATATTAAACACAATCATATGGTTATTTCTTAGAATATCTATCTATAAATTTATTATTGACATATTTTTTTTTAAAGCACCAAAGAACCGAAGTTCATTATCATGTATAACTTACATCGATTTGATCAGACGACTCAGTGGCATTGTTCATTGATGAAGGTTGCTGAGCAGTCAGTCAGCTACAACGTAGAACCAGGCACATATATGCATCGGTCTAAGTTGCATTAGCACAGCAAGATGAACACCGGATTCATACAAGTGAGTGGTTAAGTCAATGGTGGTAATATATAAAAGAAATATTGCATATAACGATGTAGTACAGGAAGAAAGAATTAGTTCGTAGAAAGAAAGATATGAAGCGATTTTAATCCCACAGTTTGAGGGAAGACAGAGAACGTATACACCGACACCATTGTGGTCGATTCTGAGCCATGTCACCAAGAGTCTCCAACCATTGGTTACGATAGTCACGCGGACCCCAACCAAGTAGTCTGCATCTACCAACAAGGCTCAGATTAGAAGTTAGTGTCTTCAAGCACTGATGCCACGTTTTGGTTTGACCACCCCTAACTTTCTTCCAACCGTCTCCAACATCGGTTAGCATTACACGTCATGGTAATCGGTGTTCAGGCATACGTAACACGTGGCTCAACCATCTCAGTTGATGAAGATTAACGACCTGATCAACTGATTTACCACCATTCCCTAATACCCTACGTCTAACCTCACTATTACTTACGCGGTGATCCCAGCAGATGCCAGAAATATTTCTAAGGCATCTGTGGTCAAACATTAGTAGCTTACGAGTGTCTTCTACTATTGATGGCCATGTTTCTCAGCCGTAAAGTAGGACAGAACGAACTGTCGCGCAGTATACTCGTCCTTTTATTGATAGACGGATATCTCGCCATCACCATAGGTGACGTAAGTTGGCAAAAGCCAAACGAGCTTTTCGAATCCGTGCTGAGATTTCGTCCGATGGCAACTCATTAGGGCTGATCAGACTTCCAAGATAAGTAAGGTTGTCAACGCGTCCGACTACTTCACTCCCTATCCTTAGTTCAGGTGTTGACGCAGACCAGTCCTGAAGCAACAACTTGTATTTAGAGGAAGAGAAGTGCATTCCAAACATTCTGGCATTGTTGCTTAGTGCTACCAAAAGACTGCATTTTATCAGCGTCTTCACCAAACAGGACTATATCATCTGCGTATTCTAAGTCGATAAGTGGACCTCCTGGAAGGAGATCAATGCTCGAAAATTCAGCCTATGAGAGCGCTATTTCCATCAGTAGGTCTATGGCGAAGTTAAACAAAAATGGAAAAAGTGGACAGCCTTGACGAATACCACTTGAGGTTGCAAAAGCAAATGACAGTTCGTCATCAGCTCTGACTCGACTAGTAGTGTTCGAGTAAAGAGCCTTTACAAGGTTTATGAACTTATGGGGTATGCCTTTCAATGACAGACACTGCCATAGAACCTCTCGGTCTACGGAGTCAAATGCTGCTTTTAGGTCAAGAAAGACCACCATTGTCGGACGCCGATAAGTATGCCTGTGTTCTAGGACCTGACGAATGGTGGATATGTGGTCGATGCAGCCACGATCAGGCCTGAAGCCAGCTTGATTCTCTCGTGTTTGCAGTTCACGAGTCCTAGTTAGGCGTCCGATAATTATCGAGGCTAGTATTTCAGATACTATATTAGTTAAACTAATCCCTCTATGGTTGTCACAGGATGCTTTTAACCCTCTCTTATATATTGGGACGATAAGTGATTGTGATCAGTCAGATGGGATAACGTCCAACTCCCAGATTTTAGCTAAAATATTAGTCAACCTAATCGCTGAAAAGGCAACGACGTGTGTCCCTATTCTTCCGAGTTCTTATGTAGCTGTTTAGCCGAACAGCACATAGACGACTGTTAACGGGGATCCACTCTAACAGTGCTTGTTCCGCCCTCATGCTTAGTGCTATGCCCACACCTGCCAGTCCACGAGAACTGGCCTTCGGGTCACCAGATACACGGAGGGTGTATCTCGTTGGCTCTCCGTTTTGCCGAGGTGAGGTCAAGTGAATGACTACACTGGGATCCTGTGTGCGTGTTTCGGAGACACAGCATACATCAATGGTATGAGATTCTTGGGTTTTAGCCAAGGAAGCCTGCCGACCGATTTGACATAAGGTGCGTGCGTTCAAGGCTCCAATGAGTAGTTTGGGGCGAGGCTTCAGTAGACCTGGGACAGTGTTTTGAGCACTAGAATCGTTGGCTATGGTGACACTTGAGGAGGAAGCCGAGAGAGGAAATTTAGAGTTGAAAGTCGTTGTAGGAGAAATAATAATTGAAGAGGGAGGTTGATTATGAATACAGTGGTCTTGAGTGCTGTTAGAGGTATGATGGCAGTTATCACTTCCCGGTTGCCCACACCGTGGAAGGGTTGTTCTGGAGGTACCTGAAAAGGAAATTGGATTAGAGGTGGTCTTAGTGACCTGAGAGCGTGACCGCAGTGCCCAAGGAACAACTACTTGAGGTCGGTCATACACTAACTTTTTGCGAGCAATTTTCGTGTTAGCTCCGTACTTGTTGAGACCTTACAGTTGGAGACGGATATCTGTGGGAGCATCGCTGCCATGCTGGTTGTCTGAAGCAAACACCTTACTGCTGTCACACCTCTGTACAGTCAGCAGTACGACTTCGCCTTCGGACCTTAGGTTTGTTGCTTTTAGTCTTACCGCTCTTCAACCGACCTGTCTGGCATGGTAGGACCTTGAGGAACGGTTGTTCCAGCCAGTATAGCTCGGTTGCTTCATCACGATAGGCAAGCTCGACCACCACACCAAGGTAGCGACAACGGTCGGGTTGCTGAGCACCTAAAGGTCAAACCGTCGTAAAACGATTGGTGCATCACTTCTACAATTTGTAAGTTTTCCAAAAGCAGTCAAATCAAGATAAGTTTGATTTGGGCACGGGCACTAGGGTAAGCCAGGGGTTTTTGCGCGCATGTTATATATTGTGGATTTTTTGTCGTTAATTATCAGCTATTAACAGCATTTTCTCCATCATACGTTAATTTTCGTAATGTTTGTGCTTGTTACATAGTTTTTATTCCAATTTATTAGCAGTTTGACGTATTTGTTGCTCATTATTATTATTTATTTTTATTTCAACACATAGATAATGGTACAAAGAGGCACCAAATACATATGCGCCACACAAATCTCATCCGATATGTGTGAGGGCTGTGATACTGCCCGGGTGCCCAAACCGAAGCAGGTGGTTTTCTTAGGGGGCCACACCCCGAGCCTTCGACCCAAAGGTCTGATCGACAAGGCAGTGGAGCATCGTAAGGAGATGCAGTCCCATGGAAGCCGGTGACCAACAATTGGTTCATTCGCCATTTGTTCCCGCAGGATACTGGAGCCCATGTGCACCATTGGTTTGGAATCCGGTTAAAGCGCCGGACATTCGCTTTTCGTCCTCACCTAAGTGAATCTTTAGTAAGCCTAATATGGTTATTTGTAACAAAACAAACTTAAGCAAGTAAAATTCACCACTTTTCAAGTCAGTCAGTAACAACGTAGAACTTCGTACGTACGTACATCAGTTCGAGTTGCCACATCACCTTAACACAGAGATGCAGTTGTCGATTCAAATCCCATTATGGTAGCAAGAGTGTAAGCAGTGATCGGGAAGATTAGGGTTTGGAGATGTTATTTAAAGAGTATAATCCAGTGAAATAAATTTGGAAAGAGAAGAAAGAAAGGGACATGAAGAATTCAGAAGATTAGAATTTGGGAGAACACAAAGAGTGGATGCACCTGCGCCATTGCAAACCATTTTGAGCCATGTCATTTAGGGTCTTTAACCATCGGTTGCTATCATCTCGCGGTCCCCAACCAGGTAGTCTACACCTATCAACATGACTCAGATCACTTGTCAGTGACTTCATGGACTTGTGCCATGTTTTGGTCTGACCGCCCCTAGCTTTCTTCCAACCTACTCCTATACCACTGAACATCGCACGTCGAGGCAGTCGGTCGTTGGGCATACGTAACACGTGTCCCAGCCATCTCAACTGATGAAGTTTCACTACTTCATCAATTGACTTGCCATCCTTACCTAGTACCCATTTCCTAACAACTGCATTACTTACTCGATGGTCCCAGGATATATGAGCAATGTTTCGAAGACACCTATGATCGAATACTAGTAACCTACGAATATCCTCTACTCTTACCGGCCATGTTTCACTGCCATAAAGTAGGACGGAACGAACTGCTGCGCAGTAAACACGTCCTTTGGTTGATAGACGGATATCTCGCCTACTCCATAAATGACGCAAGTTGGCAAAAGCTAGTCGAGCCTTCTGTATCCGTGCTGAGATTTCGTCACACACCAGACCACAAGGGCTGATGAGACTTCCAAGATAAGTGAAGCGGTCGACACACTCAACTACTTCACTCCCTATCACTAGTTCGGGTGTCGATGTAACCCAATCCTGAAGCAACATTTTGCATTTCGAGGGAGAGAATCGCATCCCGAACATGCTTGCATTGTTGCTTAGAGTGGTCAGAAGACTGCATTTTGTCAGCGTCTTCGCCAAATAAAACTATGTCATCCACTTTTCAAGTAAAAAAATAGATCAAAGATCGAGTTTTCAGAAAAAACAAGCTTTGAAACATATTACGTATGGTTTAACTACTTGACTTAGATCTTAAATGCCACAGATTAATTAAAGTCCTTACGGTATTTTATTCACGGTCAGACCTGCCTATTCACGTTTACGACCAAACGTGCAATGAAACACCACAGACAAATACTTATCTCATATCTCTCAACAATTTACTTTCTGCGTGAACATAGTGCGTGTGGGTAATCTGAGAAAACATAAAATTATTCTTCCATACTTCATGGAAATCCTTTAGCGCACTATCAAACTTAATTCAGCTTCCGAATCGCTTGTTCAGCATAATACATTGAAACGCCTCACTTACGTCCACTGAAAATTCACTTGAGCATGAGGCACTACAGACAACACGCACTAATTATTGAAAAAAGTCATTCCTTGGAAAAAAACTAACTGAAAGAAATACAACAAATATTTAGGACTTACCGTGGAGTTGACATTTCGTCTTAACTTCTTAGTTTAACAGCGACCCACGAAAACCCTGCGTATCTATAACTTTTTACGTTATCTTATCTTTCTTACGTCGTCTTCCGGACCTTATCAACAAATTATATAAAGGTATTGACGTTTACTACAGCAGTTGAGATCACAGATCAAGTTACGAAGGAACAACAGAGCTAACGTGTACACTACAAAACAGAGAATGCTAAATTAGTGCTCTTAGCAGTGATTTTGTGCTTATTCATGCAGTAAAAGATGACTTAAATATGGAAAAAACCTAATACTCACCCAACCCAACAAATCCACGGCAATTGAAATACCGAATAGCCGCCTCTGGTCAGTCCGTTCAAGGTCGTTGAAACGAAACAGCTGGCAGATTTGAAGGAGCTTACCTTTTTTACCTTGCCTTTGATAGGTTAAAGCATGTACTTAAAGGGCTTGCAACGAAGTTAGATAATTCCTTCAGTAGCCTAGGATGTAATTCATCGGGTCCCGTGGATTTACCTATGTCAAGCTTATTTAGCAGACCAAAGACATCGAGTTCCTTAATGGTCACGCTATCCAGTGTATGTATGGGGGGATCTGTATACGCTGACGGGAAGGGCGCTTCTATGGTATATACGTTGCTAAAGTAGTGCAAGAACGCTTGAGCCTTACTAAAGTCAACCTCCACTAAAGATGAAGCAGTAGTGTCTCCCCATATAGCAGGAATATTTCCTTTTCTTCTTTTCCTTTGGTTTATATAGGAATACAAGCGTTTAAGACATTCTATGGATTCCTTAACAAGTTTTTCTTCGTACAATTTTCTAGACTTATGGAGGGTCGAGGCACAAGTGTTCCGAGCCTTTCGATCCTGAGATTTTGACTTATCAGTCCCCAGTAACCTAAATCTATCCCACATTTCCCTTTTCTTAAGGAGAAGGATACGGACCTCCATACTGAACCATGTTGGTGAGTTTTTCGGCCCCTCTGGTATAGTCCAACGGATGTGAGGTGTGGTAACTTTT